CGGCCATGTTTACCGAGCATGCCAATACATTGTATTATTGGGCAATGCGATGCCCAGCTTCACACCCTGACGACAAAACTAGCTCATTTTAGCCTGGTGTAGCTTGTTGGAGTAACCTGTGTGCATTAGCTTTCTTGCTGTTTTTCAACGTATTGTGATGATTAAGATCATGGATCTTTCTGCCCGCCTTTGGGAGCAAAGAATGGCGCTTTGTGTCATATTGGAGTGGGTGCCTGAAACACAGCTGAGATCTCAAATAAAAACTCGTGTTGATTTCGGGCTCTAGGAAACAATGACACCATCAGCTATTTGGGTCAGGACCCATTAATAGAAGTCTTTGTAAAGGCTCCTATTACGAAAGTCTCCTGGGAGGGATAGTTTAGCAAACTGACTTTTGTTTACAAATGGATGGCGTGCGAGTAACCCATATCTTCGCTTTGCTCCCTGGAAGCTGCTAAAGCATTTCATAGCCAGCCAGCCAGCCAGCGAAACATTGGCTTGCATCATCAAAAGTCCCTCCTCATTCCCTTGATGGGCCAAGATTTGCAGGCAGGAATGCAGTCTGTGCTGGAAGGCATACAGTTGCTTTAAGCCAAGGGGGAAAACTGCCATCCTCAACATTTGGTTTATTTTTAAAGCTAGTCCAAGCCGCAAAGCCATGCTGCGCATTGTGATATCACGGCACAAACGGTGCAAATGGTGCCACGGGTCTCGGCCACATCAGGTGTGCACTGGGACTGAGGTCTCTTTGCCCCTGAGTTTGCCCGCCCGCACCTATCAATTTCAAAGAGGCTGCAAAGGCTTCTTTTGAGGCCCTCAGGCTGAGTGGCAGCTGGATTTTATTTAGGATAGAATAGATCCCCAACCCACGGACCGTGGCCCACTATTGGGCTTTGAGACTTTCAGAATTGGGCCACAGAAGTGGTGGCCTACCGTGCGCATATCCCCACTTGCAGAAACAGTGGACAACAGCGTGCGCACGCACGTCATCTTAGTGAGAGGTGAGGGCGCTTGCCCACTGTTCTTGCAAATGGAGCACACATGCTTGCCTGCTGCTCATGGAAATGGAATTGCACATGCACACTTGCCTGCTGCACACATGGGACAATCCCTCCCCCCCACAGGTCCATAAAACCAAAAATGTTGGGGAACTCTAGAATAGAATACTTTATTGGCCAAGTGTGATGGACACACAAGGAATTTGTCTCCGGTGAATAAGCTCTCAGAGTATATGCAAATGATAAAGTAAAATAATCATAAAATAACAATAGGAGAAGGTAGCAAAACAAGGTGAGAAGGATAATGGCAATACAGCCCTACTACATGGGTAAATATCTTTAGATATAAGACAGTGCTGTGGAATTAAATGTTCAGCAGAGTGATGGCACGGGATGGGGGGGGGGAAACTGTCTAGTTGTTTTGGCATGCATTGCTCTATAGCAGAGTCCTGAAGAGAGGAGTTTAAATAGTTTATGCCCAGGATGTGAGGGGTCTGTAGATATTTTTTCAGCCCTCTTTCTGATCTTTGCAATGTACAGGTCCTCAGTGGAAGGCAGGCTGGTTGTGATGGTTCTTTCTGCAGTCCTAACTATCTGTTGGAATCTGCATCTGTCCTGCTTGGTTGCTGTACCAAAAAAAACAGCAACCAAATAGAAGGTTGATAGTCAGTCAGACAGACAGACAGGTAGATATTTTCATTTATTCATTCATTAGTTTATTTATTAGCATGGTTTTATTTATTTAGTTAGCATTCTTTTCAATAAAAGGCATTTGGAAGTTGGAAGTTAGCAACTTCAGGTTTTATTTCCGACTTTGCTCCTGGGCCCCCATGCACCAAGAGGTCTTCTTAGAAGGAAAAAAATGATAGAGACCAAAGGAAAATAATTTAACAAAGACAATACGAAACTAGACAAGAACGTTTAAAAAGTGTGAATTAAAAAGAAAAAAAAACTAGGGAGTATAATATGTGTTTTTGTTTTTCTCCCTTTTGATTTTGTATTTTAATCATTTGAATAAAATAATATATAAGTTTGTGTGTGTGTGGAAAGAAAGGAAGGAAAGAAAGGAAGAAAGGAAGGAAGGGAGAGAGAGAGAGAAAGAAAGAAAGAAAGAAACCCATACAGTAGCTTAGATTAGGGCTGGCTGGCGAATTCTGGGAGTTGAAGTCCACAGGTCTTAAGCTTTCTGAAGGTGGACACCTCTGACCTATATCTTTGTGTGGAGGCACACCTATTTGCCCAAGAACATCTGAATAGATTAGAGGCTGGTGGGAAATGCTCTCTTCAGTTTACTTCCTGGATCACAGCTACCCAACTGAGCAGTGATTTGCTGAGAGCACCTACAGGTTGATCTTAGCATTTCAGGAGTACCCATCAGCCCAGATTGGGACCATTGTAATATAGTTGTCCCTGCAAGGAGTCCTTACATAATCTGTAACTCTTGAAACAGCTTTGAGAAAGGTGTGGCCCCTGTTGCTTGAAGAGCTTTCATGGGAAAAGAATACAGAGAAATGAAGTTCAGAAACACTGGTTGCCCCAATCCACATCTTAATATCTGGTAATGTAATATAGGTATCATTGATGGATTCCCCTCCTGTTTCTTTGTGGGAGACAGACAATAGAACAGATAAACACATTGGATTCCAGCTGTGTTATTCTATCCCTGGCCTTTAAGGCATGATTTTTCCACATAGCAGGTCTCCAAACTGAATAGTGGCAAGTATCACAAGCTGGCCAAATGGCTGTGCCTCCATCTGATCTGTTGTCTTCAATCCACAAGAACGTTGTTAGCAAGCTTCGCCTGAAGTATTTCCCTTCCAGAGTTAAGCTTGGTAGCCACATGAATTTAATCCTTCACTTTGCCAGACCTGCGCTCCCCAAAAGATACTCCTTATGGAAGGGGATGGGGATGTCTTCTCTTTAATTACCCAGATTCTCCTCTAGATAAAAAGCTGGCTATTGACTCCATATGTGAATCTGAGATTTATGGAGATGAGTACATTGCTTAGCTACAACTGTTGTTCTTTGAATCCCCTTCTCCTACCTCTCTTGGTTTAGGTCAGAGATCTCCAACCTTTTGGGCACCAGGGACCGGTTCTGTGGAGAAAGGTTTTTCTGTGGACCAGAGGGTATGTGGTTTTGTGTGCTGCCTGCATCCCGCGGATGGGGCTTTGCTTGTGTGGACCAGTTGCTGGCATGCCAGGCCCAGTGCTGGTCCATGGACCGGGGATTGGGGACCCCTGGTTTAGGCTTTGTTGGGCACCATATGGAGAGGGGGGAGGAAATCAACACTCATTTGACACATTTGTCCAAGCTGTAGGAAGTTCTGAATGGAGTTGTTGAGTTGCGTGCCTGCACCTGTACGAATTCACATTCGAAGAATTGCATGGATATAAGTGACCAGTTCTTACTCATAGTCTTGATTTGAGCACTTTGCTTCAATAAATTCCCTTGTCTCTTTATTACCACCTGTTGGTTAATTAGCTCCAGACATTCAAATTACTGCAACCCTTGGTTTAATTAAAATCCAGTTGAGATTCATTTAATGTGTTTGCGAAAGGGCCTCATTGCAAGCCAGCCGTTGTGATGTCTGGGTCAGTGACACACTGCAAGGAAGTAGAAACGTTATGTTGTGGAGGAAAAAAAAAGACTAAGAATAGAATCCAGCAAGGTTGTTATGTAGTGACTCAACATTTTCCTCAACCAGGGAAAATACTCTGAAAATCCAGCATCTGTGAGGTATTCTCTGGCCAATGCCGAGTAGTTGAATTTCTCATAGTGCCCCCAGTACCATGCTGTTGTGGGGCAGCTTGGGAAATTAAGATGGCAGCTGGACCCAGCTTTGTGGTACCTTTGAACATTTGTCCCTTGCTTTAAGCTATTTGTAGCCCAAGATACCTAACTGTAAGTTTGTAATAGCTACTATTGGATTGTTAGTAGCACAACCTCAAGCCTACCTGTTATGGAAGGACATAACAGAATATCAGAATAATGGAGTTGGAAGGGACCTTGGAGGTCTTCTCACTCTAACTCTTACCCTAACCTATACCATTTCAGACAAATGGCTGTCCAATCTCTTTTCGAAAGCCTCCAGTGATGAAGCATCAATTCCACTGGTTAATTGTTCTCACCGTCAGGAAATTTCTCCTTAGTTCTAGATTGCTTCTCTCCTTGATTAGTTTCCATCCGCTGCTTCTTGTCCTGCCTTCAGGTGCTTTGGAAAATAGATTGACCCCCCCTTCCTTGTGGCAGCCCCTCAGATATTGGAACCCTGCTATCATGTCGGTCCTAGTCCTTCTTTTCACTAGACCAGGGGTGTCAAACTCAATTTCATTGAGGGCCTCATCAGCATTGCGGTTGCCCTCGGGGGGCTGGGTGGGTGTGGCCAGGGTGGGTGCAGCCTACTGGGTGGGTGTGGATGGAGTGGGTGTGGCCTATTGGGTGGGCAAGGCCAGCTCTACATCGTTCGCGTCAAGGGTGTCTGTGGGAGCCTGGGCAGGAGTGGGACAGATCTGAGGGTCTCTGGCAGAAGGGGGTGGGACCAGGCAGAGCCCATGAAGCCGGATATGTGAAGTAGGCGAGGTCCATTTGCTGGCCACTTCCAGGTGATGGTGCATTTCTTCATTCCTCACAAAGGGTGATACCTCCCCAGCATGCGGCAGGGGCTGGTTCCTCGCTGTTTCCAGACGGCCTTGTGGAGCTAAGACTGAATGTGTTTCAGCATCGATGGCCACCACAAAATTGTACATTGGCTCCCGGCCGGCCTGGGCCAGGGCCAAGGCAGTGGGGGCCGTTCCCTCACTGTTTCCAGGATGGCTTCGAGGGCCACATGAAACCACTTTGCGGGCCGCATCCGACCCCCGGCCCTTGTGTTTGATATGTCTGCACTAGACATACCCATTCAGCTCTAGCATCTCTGGTTTGTTCCAACTTTCCTGTTTTTTTTTTCCCTAACCGTCCCCCATTCACTCTTCTCCTTTCCTCCTTTCTTTTGCTTCCCAGGAAGCTGTGAGAATTGCTGAAGATGTCTGAAAGCCTGGATACTGAAGAAAAACCTCCTGCACCTCCTTTGAGAATGAACAGTAACAATCGCGATTCTTCGGCCCTGAATCACAGCTCCAAACCGCTCCCCATGGCGCCTGAAGAAAAGAACCGGAAAGCTCGCCTGCGCTCCATCTTCCCCGGAGGAGATAAAAGTAACGTATCAGCCTAGCAAAAGGACGCCTGGCCCCTTCTTTCCTCCTGCTAGTTTTTCTCCAGGGTGGGTCCAGGGAGGGCAAAACGGTCAAGAAAGCGGCTGTCACCGTGTCTTTGGAACTCTGCCCCGTTTTTACATTCACGTGTCGTATGCCAAACAGGACAGGGGTTTGATTCTATAGGTCCGTGGTGGCAAACCTATGGCACACATGCCACAGGTAGCACACAGAGCTATCGCCCCAGTCCTAGGCCTTCAGCTGGGTTTCATAAAACCTTTTCATTAAAAAAAAAAAGGTTTAATCAATCAATCAATTTCAACTTCTCGCGGGAAAAAAAAGATCTTGCAAAGTTGGAATTGATTGATTGAACTTTTTAGTCCCACCCAGTCTGCTGTTACCACCGTAGCCATGCCCACCCAATGGGCCACACCCACCCAATGGGCCACACCCACCCAATGGCCACACCCACCTGGCACCCGACCATGCATAAATGGGTTTTGGGTTGCAGTTTGGGCACTCGGTCTCTAAAAGGTTCGCCATCACTGCTATAGGTGCAATGGCCATTTTTTTTGACTCTCCCCAAATCTGGTGAGACTCAGAAAAATTACTTTAAGCATGCTCTGTTTGTTTTAACTGCTTTGAATGTATACTAAATAGCACCATTAGGAGCAGGGGTGCACAATTATTTTTCCCCAGGGCCACCAGAGAAGCTGGAACTGTTCCGATTGACCTCAAGCAGGTCAGACAGGGACTGGCCAAGGGTGACATGTGGTCCTGTGATCGAAGGTCTGATTTATAGCAAACAGCTTGATAAGTCACAGCTAGCTATTGTTTGCTGAACCAACCTTTATGGGGTAAGCCACAGTTTGATAGGTTGAGACCCCCCTCTGGGCCATGAATCAACGCTGACAAACTACAAGGTAGCATGTTCAAACTATATAACTGAGTGAATTGCTTATGAATCAAGGAATTTAATTCGACTGTTTGACAGTTCATGCCAGTATTCTCTATTTTGATTGGCATGAGTCATTCTGGAGCTGGGCCCCTCAATCACCTGCTCCCTCCAGTTTTCAATTGTGAATCATCATCATCATCTTCTTCTTCTTCTTCTTCTTCTTCTTCTTCTTCTTCTTCTTCTTCTTCTTCTTCTTCTTCTTCTTCTTCTTCTTCTTCTTCTTCTTCTTCTTCTTCTTCTTCTTCTTCTTCTTCTTCTTCTTCTTCTTCTTCTTCTTCTTCTTCTTCTTCTTCTTCTTCTTCTTCTTCTTCTTCTTCTTCTTCTTCTTCTTCTTCTTCTTCTTCTTCTTCTTCTTCTTCTTCTTCTTCTTCTTCTTCTTCTTCTTCTTCTTCTTCTTCTTCCTGCTCCTCCTCCTCCTCCATGTCTCGACTTAGTAGAAGATGTGTGTCCAAATTGTGAGCATTTGGAAAGTTCCTTAAAAGTGCATCAGCTGGAGTGTCAGCCCTTTTCAGTTACTTACTTTGAACTCCAGGAAGAGGTACATGTCATATGGAGTACCAAAATAATATCTCTCTCTGTCTCGGTAGGCAATTTAATTGAATGACGTCTTTGTGTTTAAGCAGTCTGATCTTGCTATGCCTTCCCATTATAATGCCTTCCCTCTTAAGTGCAGGATGTGATGTTGGCTGAAAAAATAAAGAAATTGCCATTCCTTAGACAGAGAAGTTAAATATAGACTTTCTGATCCATCTTTAATTCTTGGGTTAAATGAATTTTCAATGAAGACATTACTTATGCAGCCCTATTAAGATGAGACTTTCTAATTGATCTATGCTGACTTTCCTTGCTGGCATTTCAATCTTTATGGGACCTTGGCAGATCCATGAAGAGAAACAATAGCCAGTTTCTTCTGAGATTTTTAAAAAATAAATATGAATTTGTTCCTATGGTCATATATTCCTTCATGTGTATCTCCGTAATTGCTCCAAAACATAATTTCTGTCACCATGTTTAAGTGCTCTTTTGATTTCCTTGGGGATGCTCCAGCACAGGACATGGGACTTAAAGAGGAACCAATTCTCTTGTGTAGATTACTCCAGTCACACTGGGTTAAGCCAGGATTTTATGCATAATCTTTGAAGATTAAATGATAGTACCTGGATTCACATATGATGCCATAATTGATGGTTTCCATATCAGGATCATGAGCAAACTATGGTTTAATGTCATGTGTGATCCAGGCTACTAGGACGTCTGGGAAAATTCATTGAGATGGTGCTGTTAGGGTGGTATTTCCATTCAGGGGTCCTTGATGTTCTCTGAGTATGGTTGGTTTTTTTTTTTTTTTTGTTTTGCAGATGTTTCATTACCCAAACTGGGTAACATCATCAGTACTAGAAGGGAGAGCAAACCTCATTCCTTTTTAACACTGATGATGTTACCTTGTTTGGGTCATGAAAGGTCTGCAAGCAAACAACCAAGCTCAGAGAACATCAAGAACCCCACAGTCTTCTCCTCCTTCTCCTTCTCCTTCTCCTTCTCCTTCTCCTTCTCCTTCTCCTTCTCCTTCTCCTTCTTCTTCTTCCTCCTCCTCCTCTTCCTTGTCCTCCTCCACTTCCTCTTCTTCCTCCTCGTCCTCGTCCTCCTCCTCCTCTTCTTCCTCCTCGTTCTCCTCCTCCTCCTCCTCCTCTTCCTCCTCTTCATAAACCCCACTCCATTCTAGCACTAATGATGCTACCCAGTGCTTTTTTTGTAAAAAAAAAAAAAAAGGTGCTGGAACTGACACACGTCATACAACCCGCCTTGCCTACCCTACAAGGTTCCATCCAAAAAAGGTGCCAGAACTCCATTCTGGGCGTTCTATGACGAAAAAAAGCCCTGATGCTACCTAGTTTGCGTAATGAAACATCAGGGAGCACAAAGGACCCGTCATTTCAAGCCTGAGCTACCAATATTCTCCTTTATTGGTATTTCCATTCAGTTAAGCAGCAAAGCAGAAAATGCTTCGGAATCGGATAAATGCATCAAGCTCCTTCGGTTATATTGCCAAGGATCCTTTTGAATCCAACTGTATTTTATTCTTCCTGCCCTTCTATTTCTTGCGTTGAATAAACCAGACAGTAAAATCGATGAACAAATGACTACGCAGAAAAATAAATGGCTGTTAACATTTTGCCCGCAGCCAATAAGAAGAAAGAGAAAGAACGTCCTGAAATCTCTCTCCCTTCAGACTTCGAGCACACAATCCATGTTGGCTTTGATGCCGTCACTGGGGAATTCACAGTAAGTCTTCGCTTTATTGTCTGCCTATCTTCTACACCCTTTCCTTTCCTTTCATTTCCCAGTCATGAGTCCTGTACAGGTATTTCTTGAATGCAGAACGGATGTGAGAACAGAGGTAGGGCTAACCACCTGCTCGGTGTTCATTAGAACAGGTATGCATATGGGGTCTGTGCCATTGTTACGTTCAATGCACGTTGAGTCTGCCTTTCAGATAACAGCTGCACGCGCCTTCATCATAAACCATAATGGAGGACAGTGCCGAAACCTATCTAGGCATATGGATCGGAAAACTTGATTGTAACCCACTAGAAGTCGCTTCCCTCCCCAAAGGAAGAAAGGCTATGAGCTATAGAAAAACAAAATCTGAATGTGCTCTGTTGATTTGGCTCATAGGATACATGAGGAATTTGATATTGAACATCAAACCCTGACAATCCAGCTATCACTTGACCTACATGTCAGATATTGATTAGGAAACATGTCCAAATGAAAAGGGAGACTGGGAGTTGTGGTTTTCTAGCATGAGGTCATAATGGATATTCACACATAGCCGTTGCTGAGTTTGTTATTGTTTAGACCAGTGTTTCAATCGTGGCCATTTTAAGATGGGTGGACTTCAGCCCCCACAATTCCTTGCCAGCCATACTGTTTTCTTCTAGGGCAGGGGTGTCAAACTCCCAGCCTGCAGGCTGGACGCATCACATTGAAGTCGTGCCCACCCTATTGCCAGCAATAGCAAAACTGGCCCAATACGTTGCGCAATGTCACGTGACGTCGCAAGTTTGACATGCTTGCTCTAGGGTGTTTTTTCAGCACCCTTGGATAACTCATTCCAGGGAACTCCTGGTGGTCTCCCATCCATATCCCATCCAGTCCTGAAACTGCTAATATTAGAGCAAAGGAACAAACCTGAAATATACATCTTTAGACTTAGGTAGCAATTACCACAACCAGCTGTTCTTGTACAGAACATTCTCTGTTCATACACAAAATTTTGCACATCCCGGGCTTCTTACTGCTGACTTAATCAATCATGTTTTCCCCTACTGTGGGATATATTTATTTATTTATCTATTGCTATCCAGCCTTTATTATTTTTACAAATAACTCAAGGCAGTGAACATATCCACCACACCTTCCTCCTCCTATTTTCCCCACAACAACAACAACCCTGTGAGGTAGCTTGGGCTGAGAGAGAAGGATTGGCTCAAAGTCACCCAACTGGCTTTTCATGGCTAAGGCAGTCTCCTGATGATTGGCCCAAAATCACCCAACCAGCTTTCAGGGCTCAAGAGAGAGTAGAACTCACTGTCTCCCAATTTCTAGCCTGGTGCCTTAGCCACTAGGCCAGACTGTCTCTTCGGCTTCTCTTCTTTGATTCATTCTCAAGGAAAGACATTAAGGTGTTCAGGCTGGGGAGAGTCGGTGGAAGAATGTGTCACAGAAAATAAATCAGCCGTATATCATCTTGCTGGTTTGCAATTTTTTTCTCTCCATCCAAATCCATTTTGATGCAGCCTCTTCTGCATTAAGTGGCAGAAGTCTTAATGGCTGATGACGGAGAGATCAGGGATTCCGTGCACATCTGGAGTGCCACACATTATCCTTCCTTGCTTAGCACCACTGGGAAAATAATTAAATGATTTCTCAAGACAAAAGAGTTTAAAAAACAGGAGGGGTGGGAGCACATCGCCTTAAGCTCTAGGGGAAAAGTAGAAAGCAGATCAAATAAATGCACATATATGTTGTTACTTCTTGAGCCTTTTACAAGGCCCTCAAAGAGAGATATTTTAACAAGAAAAAGGGGGCTTCAGTGAGAAAAATGGAATTTTGGAGAGAATAATTCTGAAAAGGACTGGTTGTTCCGTCTGGAGATGTTGGTTAACAGAATTGCCTGTGGATCATTAAGATCGTTAAAGAGAGATCCAATCTAGAATTAAGTGAGAACGATTAATCAGTGGAATGGCTTGCTTCCAGAAATTGTGGGTGCTCCATCACGCGAGATTTTTTAAGAAGATAGCCATTTTTTCGAGATGGTATAAGATAGGCGTGCCTTGAGCAGGAGGTTGGACTAGATGACCTTTAAGATCCTTGCAGCCCTATGATTCTGTGATTCTAAGATGGTTGTTTATAGGGGCCAATTTCTACAGCAAGGAAGGGACTGCTGGAATATCCTTAAAATCACCGGAGAATTTTTCTTTTATGAGCCCAGAGCTCCTACTTCCACAATCTCATTGTTTCTAGAAATTAGATTTTGCTGGATTACCTTATAGGCTTATTGAATAAGCAGGTTCCAAATTCAGTACTGAGTATTTTAAATCAAGACCACATTATGACTTTTGTGAGCCCTTCGCACCTTTGTTTTCATGGGATCCTCCCTCCATTAAAAAAAAACATTAATCAAATTTATATAGCCATCTATCACACTGAAGGCAACTGTGGACAGCGTATAACAGTAGCTTTTTAAAAATATAAAAACAGCAAATAGAAATACAAAAGAGTCTAGAGAAAATTACCCTGAAAACGAAAATGCAATCAAAGTGAAGGTGTAGGAGATGGAAGGCAGAGTTAAGCGTGTCATAAGCTTAGAATTTTTATGTTGCCATAATTGGTTCAAGTCCATCCCTTTTTGAATTCCATTGACCCTCATCTGGTACCAATTTAGTAGTGAACTTTAGTTGATTAGATTGCTCTATATAGGCTTGAGCAATAAAGCTTCTGAACTGCATATAACCAAGTCTCTGGATCCGTGGGAGTCCCACGCCTGGTCACACCACCAGGTATGGAAGATCTTTTGGAATATCAAAATCAATCTAATTTTTTTTTTGGGGGGGGGAAGGTTATTCTATAAGGCTGGCACCCTAGAAGAGAAGGCACATCTCCTGCGACCCACTAAATGTAGCTCATGGCTAATGGTACACAGCAGGCTCCCTGTGTAAGATCTGATGGAATAGTTTGATATAATATTAAAAAAGGTTAACGCTACTAGTAAAAATAGTAATATTAGAAGTTATCTTTTCTATGTTTTTCAATATTTTTATTGAAGATTATACATATATATATATATATATATATATATATATATATATATATATATATATATAATTTTGTAATAATAATTAATTACTACCAATTGACTAGGATGCCTGTTGCATATCACCAAAGTTACTAAATTTTAGCATTCACGATAGACTATACGTTACAACTATTTGATGACGTTTCCATATTGTATGTGCCTTGGCCAGTTGTTATTAAAAGGCATGAAAATAAACAGCTTCATTTTTATTTCTTCTGATTATTTTTTTTTAAAATGAAACATTTTTGACACTGTGAGCATTGCTAAATGAGTTTTTCTGTAGGACTGATCTGATTTTTTAAAAATTAATGATAAATTTATTGCAGCAAGGATTCTTCCGCTAAGGATTTTTGGCAAAAAAAAAAGAAAAGATTTTTCCTGGGTTTCATAGTCTTTCTCTTAAAGTGTGTGGGGGGGGGGGTATTCTAAACCTGTGCAAATGTTCCTTTCTCATTTCAGAGGGTAGCCATCATTCTGTGTGTGTTAAGCATCATGAGTTGTGTGCAATGTGCCCAGGTTTTTTTTCATTCGGTGTTTTATTTCTTTTTGACACTCAGGCCCAATTGCTGTCCTGGCTGAATTGCTTTGCACTGCTCACAGCTACATCAAAAAATCATAACTGGGGACATTTGCTCTGAAGCTTGGCTTTCAATCATGAACATCAGCTGGCATGAGGTTGCTTGTGATGGTGCATGTCCCATTGCCATTTCATTGTTGCTCGGCACCACTGTAAACAACAAAAATCAGGACACAAAACACTGAACAAGTTGATGAAAGATGAGTAGGAAAAACAGCTTTCTCTGGCCTTGATCAATGTCACCATAATATTGTTGCCTTGACTTAAATGGGAGAACCTGGATTTTAACAAGACACACTCTTAAGTTCTGTCTAGAAAGAAAGATCAGAGAATGAAAGAGTAGTTTGGTGTTGATATGGCAAGCATTGGCAGATCCTAGGGATGGAGTCAAGAGAGAACTCAGCCCAGAATCGTTACATGTCCATGAACGCTTCAAGTCCAACCCCTCTTGAATTCCATTAACATATCTGTCTTATCTCACTCTTATTTAACTCAGTTTAGTGCTGACCAATAGTTGACTAGCTTCTTGAGCATAGATATGAGCAATAAATCAGCTTAACTGGAATTTAATGTGTAGTCCTGATTCTTTGTGCCTGACCAGCATGATGCACTTGGAAAACTGAATGACCACAAGATTTCAGTGAGCAGATAAGCCCGTGGTGGCAAACCTAGGGCATGGCGTGCCACAGGTGGCACGCAGAGCCCTCTCATGAGCACACATGCCGTCGCCCTAGTCCCAGGCCTTCAGCTGGGTTTTATAAAACCTTTTCACTTAAAAAAAGGTTCAATCAATCAATCAATCAATCAATTTCAACTTCACGTGGGAAAAAAAAATCTCACAAAATTAGAATTGATTGATTGAACTTTTTAGTCCCATCCAGTCTGCCATTACCACCGCACCCATGCCCACCCAATGGGCCATGCCCACCCAATTGGCAACACCCACCCAATTGGCCATACCCACCCAATTGGCCACACCCAGCCAATGGGCCACACCCACCTGGCACCCGACGATACATAAGTGGGTTTTGGGTTGCAGTTTGGGCACTCCATCTCTAAAAGGTTTGCCATCACTGAGATAAGCGTTTTCTCTATACATAGTGATGGTCCAACTTTGGTAACCCTGAAGTATTCAGGCATCTGTTTCATATGCAGAAGGACCCAGATTCAGTACTGGACCGGACATCAGCAATCTGGAACCAAAGCAAAGATGTCATAGTCTCTTGGACTATGAAAGACAAAGTTTTAGTGCTGGTGGCCCCCTTCTAAAAGTTTAGAACACAGTTAGACTTCATTGGCACCATGAGAAGACACTTGCATGGCTTAATAACTGTGGAGATTCTCCATCATCCAGGTCATGGTTGTCCCAAAGGTGCTTTTCCAAAAGGTAACCGGACTTTCTTGTTTTTTTTTCCCCCTTGAAGAACTGAAGTTTGGAACAGAACAGAACTGAAGTTTGCTTGCAGAAGTGAAGAAGCTTTTTGGATGAGAAGTGAAACATTTCCGAGGGGAAAAAACAAAGAAAGTCCAGTTGCCTTTTGGAAAAGCACCTTTGGAACTTGCACCTAGTTTCTTCTCCTGTACCCTATTTTTTTACTTACTAAGAATGCCCATATAAGGCCCATAAGCATTTTAAATAAAGATGCTTCTGCAGGCTGGTTCCTTCCCTTTCAGAATTAATTAATGAATATTTCATAGTTCTAAACTGCCCATCTCCCCAACGGAGGGGTTGAGAATGCCAGATTCTCTTTTTTAAAAACTATTAAATGAATTTTTAAAAACCAGGCAGCGCTGATTTTAAGAACCAGGGGAGGTGACACATAGGCATCACGCCCCCCCCATGCCTTAATGAAAATTTAAATTGGTTCTGATTGAAGAAGTAAAAAGAAAGTGTAACTTTAGATTACAGAAACAACACTTCCATTTCAGGCCAGTAATTTCCTTTTTGACTATCCTTCTGGCAGAAGTCTGGTGCAGTGGAGGCTCATTCTAGTTATGCTGTAAAGTTAAATACAGAACTGTTTTTCAAGCATTTTGCTGCCCTTTTCTAAACCAGCCTGTTGTGGTTCATAGTTTTTCAGGAGGTGTCCAGGCCAGACGTGACAGGTGCTACCCAGAACCCACATTCCCTGAGGCTTTGTTAGAAGCAGTTGGCCTTCCCTTCCAAAGAAATCTCTTTATAACTGTGCTGTAAATCTTTGCATGGAGCCCTTTCAGAATTGTCCAGGGGGAAAAAAAAACACCTCATTCTATTCAACCTAATCCCTCCTATTTTTGAAAACCGAACAATCCATCCGATTATAGGGCTACTTAAATGAAGTAGAATGACTCTTTAGTCAGCCTCAAACCAGAAATAAAGTTAGCTAGAGCCCCACAGTTCTTTCCAAACAAGAAAATGATGCCTCCAACTTTAGGCTGTGAGATTTTTCTCTGGGTTTTTTTGTGCAAAATCTTCCCCCCGCCCCAGTAACTTGTGAATGATCCCTTGTGTTTGCTATTTATTCCCTCAGTTAGATAGGAAACCTATTGACCCGCTGGAGTCTCTCTTTTTCCGCCTTCTGATTTTTTCTCCCGCCACCTTCTGTTTTAACTTTCTTTTCTTTCTTTATTTACATCCATTGCAGCCAGCTCTCTGTGGCTCACAGATGCATACAGGGAAACTCTCGGAGGTGCGTCACAGGCCCAAACTAAGTGGCTTCTTTGAGATGTTTTAGTGCTGCAATCGCAAGCTTCATGTGTGTGCAGTAGAGTCTGTCGCTTGCCTTCCTCGTCACCTTCCCATCATGGACCGCTCTTCCCGCCAAGCACCATCAGCCCATCTCATTTTTGCAGAAGACCTCTTAGAACAAAAACAATCAAACCCTAATCCGGCAATTTAGAGAATGGGGTTGCAAAATGTCATTGAGGGCCACTGGGACCCACCTGGGTGGGTGGCAGTGGCATAATGTGAGGGTGGCACTCATAACCACCTGCTGCTGGTGTCTTCATCACTGCCGTAGAAAGCAAAAAAAAAGGTTGTCGCCAGAGGGCAGGAAATTATACTGGATGTTTTGAAGCATTTCTTAAACTCCCACAAGAAGCTTGTCAAAGAGAGACAGAAGACAGGCTTAAGATACAGAAGGATCTGGACAGACTTGAACACTGGGCACTATCTAACAAAATGAAATTCAATGGTGAAAAAAGTAAGGTTCTACAGTTAGGCAAGAAAACCCAAATGTACAGGTATAGTATAGGTGGCACCTTGCTCAATAGTAGTAACTGTGAAAGGGACCTCAGAATCCTAGTAGACAACCACTTAAGTGTGAGCCAGCAGTATGCTGCAGCTGCCAAAAAGGCCAACACAGTGCTAGGCTGCATTAACAGAGGGATAGAATAAGATCACGTGAAGTGTTAATACCAAGAGTGCCTTGGTAAGGCCACACTTGGAATACTGCATCCAGTTTTGGTCACCATGATGTAAAAAAGATATTGAGACTCTAGAAAGAGTACAGAGAAGAGCAACAAAGATGATTAGGGGACTGGAGACTAAAACATATAAGGAACGGTTGCTTGAATTGGGTCTGTCTAGTTTAACGAAGAGAAGGATGAGGGGGACATGATAGGAGTATTCCAGTATCTCAGGGGCTGCCCCAAAGAAGAGGGAGTCAAGCTATTCTCCAAAGCGCCTGAAGGCAGGACAAGAAGCAACAGATGGAAACTAATCAAGGAGAGAAGCAACCTAGAACTAAGGAGAAACTTCCTGACAGTGAGAACAATTAACCAGTGGAACAACCTGCCTCCAGAGGTGGTGAGTGCTCCAACACTGGAAGTTTTTAAGAAGAGACTGGACAGCCATTTGTCCGAAATGGTGTAGGGTTTCCTGCCTGAGCAGGGGGTTGGACTAGATGACCTCCAAGGTCCCTTCCAACTTCACTACTACTACTACTACTACTACTACTACTACTACTACTACTACTATTATAGACCTAACCTAGAAGTAAGGAGAAATTTCCTGACAGTGAGAACAATTAATAGGTGGAACAGTTTTCCTCCTGGGGTTGTGGATGCTCCATCACTGGAGGTTTTCAAAAATAGATGGAACAATCATTTGCCCAGGATGGTATAAGGTCTTCTGTTTTGAGTAGGAGGTTGGGCCTGAAGACATCCGAGGTCCCTTCTAGCCCAAATGATTCTATGATGGTCTATTTCAGATGGGGGAGCCTCTAATGTTGGTGTGCACAGCCTGAGCTGCAGTGTGCAATGAAACAAGTAAGATGTGGGGTGTCCCTTTCACCTCTAGGATATGTTCCCCAAAGTCCCAAGCCAGGAGGTGTTTCCAACCCCAGGAGGTATCTCCTACACTTCCAGCCAGGAGGTATCTCCTATCCCAATTGGATCTGCTCTTATTGTTTGAGGAAAGCACATTTTTTAAAGCTCTGCATCAAATATCCAGTCTAAGGTTCCTAAAGTTCGTCATGTTTATCTCTAAACTAGATGAGAGAGGGCATATACCAACCCGGAATTGCGGGGAATTAGTTCCATTTTTCTGCAATAATTGATTTCAGGATGAATTTCATGCACTTTTCTTTTCCTTGCCACAATCATAAATTTCTTGGGTTTTTTTTTTTTTTAAATTGGATCCAGGTATTAGCTCTTTGTTTTAAGAGAGGATGAGAGAATGATTGCAGCTGCTGTAAACTGTCTAGCTTTAACAGCTTACAGCCTTACAGGTAACCTGGGATTCTTGTTAAGGAACTGTTTTAGCAGAGCATCAATCTGAGCAGGGTGGAATCCTCTGAGACCTCACCTGTCTTATTGGGCTTTTGCAGGGCATTCCTGAGCAGTGGGCCAGGCTATTACAGACTTCCAACATTACCAAACTGGAACAGAAGAAAAACCCACAAGCTGTTCTGGACGTTCTCAAATTCTACGATTCCAAAGAGACGGTCAACAACCAGAAATATATGAGTTTTACATCAGGAGGTAAGCAAAGGTCACGGAGATCATACCATAACGAGTGAGAAGAAAAGGCTGCAGCTGGATGTCCAAATTGGGACAAAATCTTTGACCGTTGAGGAGAGGCTGTCATGGAGAACATTTTTTCTATGTAGTCACTAGGAGTCAACAGTGACTTGAGGGCAGATAACAACCATAGTTTACAGACGGTCTTTTTTACAGAGTTAAAAATAGCAAATATAGAGAAGAAGGAAGATTGGAATAGCTCAGAGGATAGACAAGTGGTGTCCAACCTTGGCTACTTTAAGTCCTGTGGACTTCAACACCCAGAATTTCCCAGCCAGCAGGGCTGGCTGGGGAATTCTGGGAATTGAAGTCCACAAGTCTCAAAGTTATCAAGGTTGGACACCCTTGGGATAGATAGTACTATATTGATGGAAACAAGGAAGATGAGAAGTGGGATGGCCACTGGAATAAAATGTGGCAAAAGAAGGCTTAATTAGCAACTTGGTCCATTGAACAAAAGCTTTTCCATGCTACATCAATCTTCACTGTCTAAGTAGACCCTGAAAGCTGAAATGTTCTTCCCTCTTCATTTCTAATAACCATTTATGATCTACCAAACCATCATGGATTTTCTTTTACTCACTGCAGATAAAAGTGCCCATGGCTATATTGCAGCCCATCCCTCGGTAAGTATCCACTCTCGGTTGCTAATGAATTTCTATGTTCTGGAATTGCCTTTTTTTTCTGGCTTAATTTGCTGTACACTAGAGTGAAAATGATACATTTCATGAAAACGTTTGTTTAACTGAGCAGAATGATGTTAGCAAGAGAACCCACCAATATATTTAACACAGTCCATGCTAATTTTGCATTGCATGTATAAGTGGTCCTCCTTTTAATGCTAAACGACTGATCAGGGATATTTGTCATGTTAGGTGACTTAATTTTGCTCTGCCAGCTAGACAAGAAAGACCATATTGTGCCAGCAGATAAGAGAGGCATATTGCAAAGCTTCTGTGAAATAGACGCGTCTACAAAGCACAAATGCTTCCATAGACAGGAAGGTTTTGCAAACATGGCTGCATTAAAAAAAAATTGGAAGGTACAACAAAATGTACAATTCTCCAAACTGTGTGTGTTCCAGCATGAGAGAGGCTGAGAAAGGAACAAAACTCAAGATGTAAAGATGTAATAAAATGGAGCTGATGGTTCCGACCACAATTTCCAAGATTTGGTAGCTTACTTTAATTCTCGTGTTTAAATTGTGATTAAAATTTGCATGATTCTTGCCTCCATATAAGGTGCTTGACCTCTACATATCCCTTCCAATCCTGTTATTCTATGTTCTGTATATGGGCTTCTATTCCCAGAATTCCCCAGCCAGCTTAGCCATTGCTATAGAATAATATATAGAGTAACAGGATTGTAAGGGACCTTGGAGGTCTTCTAACACCAACCACCTGCTCAAGCAGGAGACCTTATGCTTTTAAGACACGTGGTTGTCCAATCTCTTCTTGAAAATCATCTATCCATCTAGAAATGCTCAGATTAGCAAAACTCTGAATCAAAGTATCATACAGAGAGCAATGTAAAGCCGTACCTCTAAACACCTCTCCTATCCTTGCCAACCTGCACAGGCTATCAACTTTCACTGCAGGAACATCTGATCGTTTGGGATTCCCATTTCTCAACACTTCCACAGGCTGCGGTTTTACAGTGTTATAAGCCCAGGCTTTAAAGAATTCCATGTTAAAACAAATCCGTCCTTTCTTTGTGTCACATCATTGTCGATAGCTTTATACAACTTTATGGCTGAGAAGGATATGTGATTTGGGTCAAGCGTGCTCTTGTAAATCTTTGCCAGAGAAGTGAGAGACACCGTTTTTTCTGTCTTGCTGCTCATGATACCTAACGATCAGTTGGTGTCCTGGGTTCGTTATAAAACATATCAGGATTCTCAACCATAGTAGCTTGAAAATGCATGGACTTCAACTCTGGCTAGGGAATTCTGGGAGTTGCCATGGTTGAGAAATCCTGATCCATGAGGGGCCTGGAATTGATGGGTATTAACAGAGGGATTCAGTCAAGATCATGTGAGGTACTAATACTACTCTGTAAAGCCTTGGTAAGAACACACCTAGAATACTGCAACCAGTTTTGGTCTCCACACTATCAAAATGATGTTGAGACTCTTAAAAAAAAAGTGCGGAGAAGAGCAACCAAGATGATTAGGGGACTGGGGGTTAAAACATATGAATTGGGAACTGGGCATGGCTAGTTTAGTGAAGAGAAGGACCAGGGGTGACATGACAGCAGTGTTCCAATATGTGAAGGGCTGTCACAGAGAGAGGAGGGGGGGGGCAACCTGTTTTCCAAAGCACCTGACGACTAGACAAGGAACAATGGATGGGAACTGATCAAGGAGAGATTCAACTTAAAAATAAGGAGAAATTTTCTGATAGAACAATCAACCAGTGGAACAGTTTGCCTTCAGAAGTTGTGGGAGCTTCATTACTGGAAGATTTCAAGAAGAGACTGGACTGCCATCTGTCAGAAATGGTGTAGGGTCTCCTGATTGAGTGGTGGTCGGGATTGGAATAGATGATCTTCCAACTCTGTTTTTCTAATACTAATACTATTAAGATAGTGGAAACATCAAGATAGGAGACATTAAAGAGCTAGGTGCTTAGTCATGTAACTGGGCTGGAGCTTCATTGTTATCTGCATTTCTTACCTTCAGGGCACGAAAACAGCTTCGGAGCCACCATTGGCTCCCCCAGTTTCTGAAGAAGAGGATGAAGAAGATGAAGAGGAGGAGGATGACAATGAACCACCTCCTGTGATCGCCCCACGCCCAGAACATACTAAATCAGTAAGATCTTGTGGGTGCCATCAAAGCAGGACCGCTGAATGCTGAAGGAGACTGGGAAGAAAAAGGCAGCAGATACAGAATTTAGTTATTTTTTAAAATCATAATCTATGCTTTCTCCATATAGCTCGAGGGGAAGGGTAGTGTGTTGTTCTCCAGGTTCCTGGCTTGCTTGAGTTACCTTTGTAGCACAGATTTCACTATCAAGCATGTTTCTGAGAACCAACACAAAAGGGATGGTAAAAGTAGGACCTCCGTGCGTAAAAAAGACAAAGATATGTTGGAATAATAGAGAGCATCCCAACAGGGTGATAAAGAGCACTTTCACCTACAAATAAGTAGTTTGTATCTGAAGCCCAACCAGGATTACTTTATACAAGAAAACAGATTTGAGGTAGCTCAGTGGTTCTCAACCTTTTTAATGCCGCGACCCCCAACCGGTCATAAGTTGAGGACTACGCAACCGGTTGTAAATCGAGGACTACTCAACTGGTGCAGCACCGTTTGCAGAACGGGACTTTTGGTGGGCTCAGCAGGGCAGAGACAGCCTGGACAATTCCTATTGGCTTTTGAAAGCCAATAGAATTAGACTCTATTCAAGAGAGTCTATTCTATTGGCTTTCAAAAGCCAATAGAATAAAAGGGAGTAGCACAGCTAAGGAAAAGGGAAAAAAATGGCGGACTGCGTTGTTTGGCGACCCCCGTGAAATGGTCGTTCGACCCACAGGTTGAGAACCACTGAGATAGCTAAATGCAGAATTTCTCTCCCTTTCACAAGGCCCAGTTCAGAGGAGACAACCCATAATATAGCAAAGAGCCCAAATTTATTGACGATCTCAAAGAGATTTTTTGGGATAAAGAATGGTTTGTATCCATTCCCTGAAATTAACCTGTTGACCTAAGACTTTGCAGTCTTTGATTGGCCATGCCAACATTTTGTCAATGCATGAAAAGATGGGAGAGGACTTCTTCCTCTGGCATTTGGTCATAAATGGAAAGGCCTCTTAGAAGTCTTGAAATTCTTTCCCTGCTCACCCAAAGGATAAATTAAATGTTTGAAAAACAAATGGAGTATTTGTGGAAGGGCAAGAAAGCCACCGGTTATCATCTGGAAGACAAGTCACCGGGGATTTGTTAGGGGGAGGCCCACCAATCTCCACTCTTTGTTTCTTTGTTTCAGATTTACACTCGTTCAGTGATAGAGCCTGTGGCTTCACCAGCCTCAGTGAAAGAGTCCACCGTCCCCCAGCCTGAAAATTCAAACACGAGCACTTTGTACAGAAACACAGATCGGCAACGGAAGAAATCCAAGATGACTGATGAAGAGATTCTAGAGAAATTAAGTGAGCATTTCTCCCCCCCCCTTGTTGCAGTCTTGTTTGTTGACACAATCGCATAACGGAATTAGGAAGGTGACAGAAAGAACGAAACCTTGAGAAAAGCAGCCATAACAACTGTTAAGATCTTCTGATTACAGTGACATGTTAGATTGCCATTAACGTGGTAAACTACATGAGGCTAGGCTAGGATCCAACAGCTTTTGGTTAGGGTGGCACAGTGGCTCAGCAGTTAAAATGTTTTAGGTTTGAGACCCGAGCGCCACATGAGTTCCCGTCCTCAGCTCAGCTCCTGCCAGCTTAGCAGTTCGAAAGCATGCAAATGTGAGTAGATCAATAGGTACCACTTTGGTGGGAAGGTAACAGCACTCTGTGACATCATGCTGGCCACATGACTGCAGAAATGTCTTCGGACAGCATTGGCTCCATGGCCTTAAAACAGAGATAAGCACTGCCTACTAGAGCCGGTAACAACCAATGGAGTAAAATCCACAGGGACTTCTTTTACTTTTGGTGAAATAATTTCTATTTTTGCAAAGCTCTTCAGAAGGTTTATGGCTCAGACCATTACATGAATTAAGGAAATGACTTAATTAAAAAAAAACCAGGTGAAGAACATTGCATTTAATGCAACCATTGAGTTGCAACTTAACAACCTCAGCTTGATTGGCCAGAAGTCCCATTGTGTGAAAAAGGCAGGATATACAATACTCCATGGTAAGTGTGTACAAAAATTACATGTGCTTAACACACAGTAAATATGCATGCTCTGTTATGAGAGCAGGCTTTTGTCCAGTGTTAGAATGTGGGCATCACTGAAATAACTTGATGGGCTTATGACAGCCAGACATCCTGATTCAAAACGTGAATGCAAATCCTGACCTTTTGAACTGCTAGCCAGCTTTCAAAATGGCACCTCCATGTTTAGAATACCAACCTAAATACCTAAATACCAACCGCTGGAAATGTACAGCAAAAGGGCGATAACTGAATAACTGTTGCTTGTTTGAACTTGGAAATGATTATAAAACTAGTTATCCTAAATACCAACCGCTGGAAACGTACAGCAAAAAGGTAATAACTGAATAACTGTTGCTTGTTTGAACTTGGAAATGATTATAAAACTAGTTATCCGAAAGATGCTTTTCCACGAGGCAACTGGACTTTCTTGTTTTTCTTTGAAGACGTTTCACTTCTCATCCAAGAAGCTTCTTCAGCTCTGACTGGATGAGAAGCGAAACGTCTTCAAAGAAAAACAAGAAAGTCCAGTTGCCTCGTGGAAAAGCATCTTTGGGATAACTATGACCTGGATCAGGGGTTCCCAACCCCTGGTCTGTGGACTGGTACCGGGCTGCGGCATGCCAGCCACTGGTCCGCACAAAGTAGCAAAGCCCCATCCGTGGGATGCAAGCAGCACCCAAAACCACGCATCCTCCGGTCCACGGAAAACCTTTCTCCATGGAATCGGTCCCTGGTGCCCCAAAGGTTGGGCACCTCTGACCTGGATAACTGAGAATCTCCATAGACAATTATAAAACTGGGCTCTCCAGACCACTGTCTGCTTCATATCACTGGACAAAATATCTATGAACCATTAGGGTTTTGAGTTCTAATTTTTTTTGCTTCTTTTTTTTAAAAGCCTAGCCTGCCTGCCTGCCTGCCTGCCTTCCTTCCTTCCTTCCATCCTCCTTCCCTCCCTCCCTCTCCATTCCAGCCAACTCTTTAGTGTATTAACATAAGTAGAAAACTAAAGCCAATAAGAACAACCCATATGCCAGATATTTTGCTGCAATATTGTGAAACAAAACATTTATGGCTGAGCAGCATTATTAATGAAGCTCAGTTTGATCTGATTCCCTGCCCTGAATCTTTAAACTCATTTTGCTTGCTTGATTATTGTCGACTTTCATTTCTCTTTCTTTAATAATGTAATAGGCACTTGATTACCACGCTCAAAGGTTTTCCTTTGAGCCAGCGATAGAAAATTTGCTTGAAATTTCTGTCATGTTTTTGAAGCCTGGATAACTTAACACATATCTCTCTGGCTAATTAGGAAAAGAATTAAAGATGAATTAAGATTTTTTAAAAAAATCTAGGCAATACCTCCTTCCTTTGTTAGCCACATTTTCTGATATCTCTATTGTTTTCTTCCACCCATTTTTATAAAGATATTATGGGACTCTATTTCTCTTCAAAATTATTGTTAATTCTTTTCTGAAATCAGTGATGTCGGATAACAATGAATAAATGATCATGGCTGGTAATAACCCATAAAAAAAGGGACCCATCTTACATCTCCCCCCTTTTATTATGTTAGTATAAATCTTGATACATTGTGTTATTTCAATACACTGATGCTTATCTAATTTAAGATAATTGGGTTATTGTTTAATACCTTAGAGTACTGGATATAAAAGGGGGGCGGGAAGAAGGATATTCTCTGAGTATTAGTTACTGGAAGGGATGATGGAAAATGATACTCAGAGGTATACAGATTATAATACAATTTTTGGTCTTCAACTAAATTACTTGCCATTGAAATTTTGATATTGAAATATTGATATATTCGAACCTGGTGTATTCTTTCTTTCTTTCTTTCTTTCTTTCTTTCTTTCTTTCCTTCCTTCCTTCCTTCCTTCCTTCCTTCCTTCCTTCCTTCCTTCCTTCCTTCCTTCCTTCCTTCCTTCCTTCCTTCCTTCCCTCTCTCCCTCCCTCCCTCCCCTCTCTCTCTTTGTGTGTGTTTGTGTGTACATATCTCTATGCTTATAGAAGGAAAAATAGATGAACCAAACAAGTTTAACGAATTTTACCTTGTTGAATTTCATTATCGGTTCCAACCACTGCTGCACATGGTGTCTGCATTGGACATGCAATTAACCAGATGGCACAAGGTTTATAGTCCTTCTGACTTTCCTATTGTATTCTTCGATACTTCACGAGCTGGTCTGCAAAAATACTGCGATAATTCCCATCACCAAAGCTGCCAGAAGCTCTCAAGCAAAAATGGAAAATGGAATGATAGGTTTCAACTTGCCGGATCTTGTAGGAGTGTGGAAATTTCAAGAGATTTTGTGAATTCATGAGATTGAATGGTTATTGTTTTTTTATTATTATTATTTGAAGGAGAAGCCGTGGGCCCTTGGAAATTTAGAGAGAAGCAAATTATGAATCTCTTCTGAAACTGTTTATATTCTAGACTGATAGGGAAAATAGTGTAGAAAAAATTTGGAATAGCAAGTTTGATTTGCACTTCATGTAAGATATCTTTTTTATATTAATCCATCAGCCAGAGAAGGAATGACTTATCACTTATACGCTGTAGTTTTTTTTTTTAAAGCTTATAGGAAGTGCTATTTATCTAAGATTTTACAAGTCTTCAGATTTGATTCCTAAAGTGCAGATTTTGAAACTGAAGCATTGTGTGATCCTAATTTTATTTTTCCAAAATTTGAAAGGTAGCACCCAAATAAATATTTTGCCATTTTAGACTATTGGGTTAGCCTTTTTCTTCGTTTTGGAAGTTTTGTTACAACTGATCTGTTTTCTATTTCTTACTGAATCTCACCTTAATATTTAATTCTCACTGTTCTCCAGACTAAGAATTTCTGACAATAGCCAACTTTTCTTTTTTTCCAAAATTATTTGGAAATTGTGTACCATCTTTTGTCTAGGCCTTTTTAATGTCTGTTTTAACCAAGGTCTATTTTTCTTATTTGTTTTAGGAAGTATTGTGAGTGTTGGAGACCCAAAGAAGAAATACACACGGTTCGAAAAAATTGGCCAAGGGTTAGTATTCCTTTCTTCCTATTTCCTTTTTATCATCAAGTCTTCTTCAACATGGACCATCATATATTACCTGGTATAGAGATGTACTGTTTATAACCTGAAGGCTTTATGGACCACCAAAATAGTAGCATGGCCCCACAACCAAATTACTATCAAGTGTTTAGTATGACATAGATAGATTTAAACCCTCTTCCAAAAGGGTTTACAAAATTGGGAAATGTTTTAAAAGGATATTTCATAATATTAATGAGATCATTATTAAGAGAATATGCCCGTGGTATACAGGTAAACCTCAATTTATGATGATAATGGAGACCAAAATTTCTGTTGCTCGCTATGACAGTTGTTTTGTTCCATTTTAGGAACATGTTGCCACAGCTGTTAAGTGAATCGCTGCAGTTGTTAAGTTAGTAACACAGTTGTTAAGTGAATCTGGCTTCCCCATGGACTTTGTTTGTTAGCAGGTCGCAAAAGATGATCATGTGGTGATGATCATGGCACTGCGACCGTCCTAAATATGAGTCAGTTGCCAAGCATCTGAATTTTGATCATGTGACTGTGGGGGATGCTGCAATGTGAAAAACGGTCTTAAGTGACTTTTTCCAGTGCTGTTGTAACCTCGGTCACTAAACAAATGATTGTAAGTATGTTAACAACTGCAGTGATTCACTTAACAACTGTCTCCCTTAGCGACAGAAATTTTGGGCTGGATTGTGCTCATAAGTCGAAGACTACCTGCATTCCAGATTATATTGAAGCATTCTAAAAATTTCCTGTTGTGCAATGAGGTTTTTTTTTTTTTGTAACGCATCCCAGAGATGAAGTCTACTGGAGACGCATCTGTGGTAGAAGGTCAGCGAAATGATGGGTGTTGTGCTGCGGTCCTGGGAGGTGTAGGACAATTCACTGTGGCCATCTTGCTGCGGCCATTTTGCCCCGGGACAACTTGCCTCAGACAATTCCATGTGAGATAATTCAACGCGATAAATATTAGCCACCACTGTTTCTTTGACGTGATTTCTATGGGAAAAAAATGTTAATAATGTTGAAGAAACAGGGGTGGGTATCCCACACGGAGTTGTCCAGGGTGAATTGTCCTATGGCGAGTTGACCACTGTGAGTTGTCGAAGGCAAGTTGGTCATGGCAAGGGGTGGGCTACAGAGAATTGGCTGTGGTGAATTGTCCCGTTCTGTGCCCTAGGAATCTGAACCATCACTTCCTGTCCACCATTTTCCAGATTTTGACACCCTCACCCCACCCTGTGTGGAACATGCTGCATGAAAGAAAGAATTGTACTAACTACCTGGCTGTTCTTACCTTTGACCTGGAGAGCTATGCTCCCATTGATCCTAGAATATGTCTGCAGGACGTTGCCTTCTTTATGGGATGGAAATATAAATGTGTTTAGCTTGTGTGCCCTTGAAAATATGCACAGAGCAGTTCTTGCTGTAGCTTTTCCCATGGACCACATTGCGATAAATTCTGACTGGGAACCGTACGCGCAAATCAATCTCGAAAGGCATTTACTTTGCCTGTAAATCTCTTTTTTCTAGTTCCCCCCAAGAGGCTCAGCCTGGATGTAAACAGGCTTTTCTAAACAAAATATACAAATCAGACCTCTCTAAGCTCAGGAGCCATGGTTCTGCCCTGACAGCCTTGAATACACTGAATTAATTTTTTTATGTAAACAAATTGGATTAAACACCCCTATTAGTCACCAAAAATCCCATTTCCATTTGCATTTATATTAAAATGATACATTCCCTGTCAGTAAAAATATTGTATTGGATCGAAAGACCAAGTTGAGAATGGAATGATTAAAATGCAATGGAAATTATCTATCACCAGTTAATCTCTGTGAACAGAGGGGTCCGATAGGCTTAATTGCACTCAATAATTCAGGTTCTGCTGGGGTTGTGTTGGGGTTGAGCAAAGCAGACATCTCTAGCAGTCGCTACTGATATTATTGTACTTTTAGTTCGTCGGAATAAATCAACTGAAAGAGAAAGATTTCTTTCACCCGGGGTTAGGATTGCTCATGGATCTTACAGAATTTTCTTGCAAGAAGCTTTGGGATTTCTGAAGCAGCCTACGGTGCTTTAAATAAATACTGGAGCACAACTCTAATCTGAAATTACCCCTCGGTGGGATTTGTTAACACAAATAACACAAATCAGAAGGCTAGAAATTTATATATGCACCATCTGTTTTCCCTCTCCCTGTTGATGGGCAAAACTTGCAACGGGCTTCCTCTCAGAGGCTTTATTTCTTTAATTAAACAAGAACAAACAATCAAGGCAATAACACACATATGGACCCTCATGTATTACATTGGTGTCATATGATATATATGTTGTATGGTGTTAAAAAAGTTCTTATTTTTGTATCTGTCTTAAAGTCCGTTTCTTCTTTCTCTCGTTGCGTTTTGTCTATTTTATTTGTGTTTTGTTTATTTGTAAGTTGTGTAATTTATGACTGTAGTCAAGTCAGTGTTTATTACAGTCAAAGACCAGAGCAAGTTGAAAACATTAAAAATTCTAAAATAAAATAATAAATAACAAAATCTACATTGAAATCACATTTGCCATCCAATTTGTCAATTGCACGCCAGCAAAACACAGCAGGGCCTAACTACAATATAATATCAATCTTTAAACGGTGAGGCCCATAGACATTAGATACTAAAAAGCCCAAGAGAGAAAATGTATTGTATCAAGTACTTTGGCCACCTAAATGAGAAGGAAGGACTTCCTGGAGAAGAGCCTAATGCTGGGAAAGATTGAGGGCAAGAGAAGAAGGGGACGACAGAGAATGAGGTGGCTGGATGGGGTCACTGAAGCAGTAGGGTGTGAGTTTAAATGGACTCCAGAAGATGGTAGAGGACAGGAAGGCCTGGAGGAGATCAACCCCGACTGCTCTTTAGAAGGCCAGATCCTGAAGTTGAAACTCAAGTACTTTGGCCACCTAATGAGAAGGAAGGACTCACTGGAGAAGAGCCTGATGCTGGGAAAGATGGAGGGCAAGAGAAGAAGGGGACGACAGAGAAGGAGGTAGCTGGATGGAGTCACTGAAGCAGTAGGGTGTGAGTTTAAATGGACTCCAGAAGATGGTAGAAGACAGGAAAGCCTGGAGGAACATTGTCCATGGGGTCGCGATGGGTTGGACACGACTTCACAACCAACAACAACAAATGTCTATTACTTTATTGTAGTAAAAAGTTCTTTATATACAGTATATAGGATATGTTCCCTGCCAGTATTCAACTGACTCTGTGTGTGTGTGTGTGTGTGTGTGTGTGTGTGTGTGTGTGTGTACTTTAAATGATCACTAAACAAATGTTTGTAACTTGAGGACTATACTCTGCATACTCTGCGTATTATGTGGGAGTGTTTGTAAGTGACCTTACAAACTTTCATTTAGTGACTATTCAAAGTTACAGCGACACTGAAAAAACGGACTTGCAATCAAGTTCTCGCCTTTATGACCCTCACACCATCCCCACGGTCACGTGATCAAAATTTGGGCGTTTGGCAACCGCCATGTTTATGCTGCATGGTTGCATTATTCCAGGGTCATGTGATTCCTACTTGCAACCTTCCCCAGGGCTGGCTTCTGACAAGGAAAGTCAGTGAGGAAAGCTGGATTTGCTTAACAATAGCAATAGCCCTTAGACTTATATACTGCTTCACAGTGCTTTACAGCCCTCCCTAAGCAGTTTACAGATTCAGCATCTTGCCCCCAACAATCTGGGTCCTCCTTTTACTGACCTTGGAAGGATGGAAGGCTGAATCAATCTTGAGCTGGTGAGGATCAAGCTCCTGACAGTGGGCAGAGTTAGCCTGCAATACTGCACTCTAACCGCTGCGCCACCAGGGCCATGCAATTCATTAACAACTATAGTGAGTCACGTAATGGTCATGGCAAAACAACCTCCTTGCTTAGCAGTGGGAATTGTGGTCCCAATTGTGGTTCCTTGTAAAATGAGGATGCCTGTGTGTATGCATGTATGCATATGTGTTTGTGCATGTGTAGATATGTATTTGTGTTTGTCTCCATAGGTATATAATTATATATAATCATATACACAGAGATAAGAAACTACGATTTCAATCAATTATTATTTCACCCGTTTGTATGTAACTTACTCAATTTTTTAGCTTGAGGGCCATGTGAATGCGTAGGCCTGACCCCCCTCCCCCCCAAATATCCTGGCTTTCCTGAAATGTAATTGGCACTGAAATTTAATTTTTTTATTTCAAAGATCATACAGGCTTATTCCCTCATTGCGCATCTTTCTAAGTATTTCCATTCAGCATTCAGGGCCAGAAAGATCCTGTTGATTCTTTCGTATGTGATCTTTCTTGGGACCTGGATGAGTAATGTTTCTCCTTGTCCTGTTGGAGCTTCCAGGCAGTCTTTGATACCCCAAACCACGATATCTTACTCGACCATCTATAGCATTGTGGGCAAAGGCTCCTTCTTCGGTGGATGCTTTGAGTCTGTGGAGATGACAAGTCATCCTGTGAGCTTCTGACAGGTGGGATGCCACTGGGGCCATTTCTTTCTCTCCTGTGCTCGACAACTCCATGAAAGCTCTGGGGAAGCTCATCTGACAATATTATCAGTATGCTGATGATTCCCAACCTTACACAGCCACCCCAGCTTGTAGAGAAGATGTGGTTGACATCCTATCCCAGTGTTTCTCAACTGTGGCAAACTTAAGGTGTGTGAACTTCAACTCCCAGAATTCTCCAGCCAGCAAAAGATTGGGAAACACTGTTCTATCTTGATGCTTGGAGGCTGTAAAAGTTTGGCTAGGAGAAAATAGGCCAATAGGAAAGAGAATTTGGAGCTTCTAGCACTAAAGAGATGCACAGGAAAACCACCACACTCAGAGAGCATCAAGGACCCCATGGAAAGAGGATTCAGGTTCTTCCAAACATCCCCATTCAATGTAGAGATGCTTAGATAGATGTGGTTCTCATAATTATGTTAAGTTGGGCAGCCTGTTGATCTTTCTCATGTTATTATGCTCAATTAAGTTATTCTTCTTCTCGTCCTCTGGCTGATGTCTGACATCTCAACTGTTGTTATTTTTCCTTAGGGCTTCGGGTACTGTTTATACAGCAATAGACATTGCTACAGGGCAGGAGGTGAGTGTGATGCTGTTTTGTTTCGGAGTTATTTTGCTTTAAAACATTGAGGACTGAGGACTGAGCATTCTAAGTGGAAATATGCTCAGCCCAAGATTCTCGTTGTTTGGACCACTAATCTGATGATGCAGTTCATGGTGTGCATATACATTTTCTGCTTGTGTCCTAGGTGAACTAAAGACTTTTTAAGACATACAACAAAACTTAGCTTTCCTTCCTTCCTTCCTTCCTTCCTTCCTTCCTTCCTTCCTTCCTTCCTTCCTTCCTTCCTTCCTTCCCTATCTTCCTACCCTTTCTTTCTCCTTTCCTCTCTCCCTTCCTTCCTTTTCTCTACCTTCCCTTCCTCCCTCCCTCCCTCACTTACTTACTTCCTCAGGTGCCGATCTCCATAAATATCTAAACACTGATAGAGTGTTAAAATTTATCCATACCAATTCAGGGTAGGAACTGGCAACTTCAGTGATGGAAAAGCAGACCATGCTTTATTTAGTATAATCATTTTTTTTAAAAAAAAAACAGCATTTCCTTTCATGAAAAAGTATATAAAGTCATGGGAGAAGAAGATCTCGAAAGAGAAGAGAATAAAATATTATGTACTATGTGGTATAGGTGCCCCAGAGCCAAGTTCCAGCCACATTTGTAGAACTCATTCTAGTAGATATACCATGTTTCTCTGAAATTAAGACCGGATCTGTATTTTTTTTGCCTCCAAAAGAGGCATTAGGTCTTAATCTTGGAGAACTCTTACCTTAGGACCACCAGAGCCAGGCATCCTACACCCCGACACCTGTTGCATCATCTCAATACAGATAGTCCTCGACGTATGGTTGAGCCCAAACTTTTTGTTAAATGAGACATTTGTTAAGTGAGTTTTGCCCCATTTTATGACCTTTCTTGCCTCAGTTATTAAGTGAATCACTGCAGTTAATAAATTACCCAGTGGTTAAGTGAATCTGGTTTCCCCATTGACTTTGCTTGTAAGACGGTCACAAAAAGGGATCCACATGACCCCGGGGCACAGCAACAGTCATAAATATGAACCAGTTGCCAAGCATTTGAATTTTGATCACATGAGGATTCTGTAAACATCGTAACTCTGAAAAACGGTCATAATTCATTTTTTTCAATGCCATTATAACTTTGAATGGTCACTAAACAAACCATTGTAAGTCGAGGACTACCTGTATTTGTGCTTTTCTCACAATTATAGTGTGGGTCCGAATGACCCAGGTTGAAAAGAAAGGGTGTTAGGATATAGTTTATAATGATCAACTTCTGCATGTGAGAATTATAACGTCTTCAATACCTGTGATGGAATGTGAGAATGATTTGGGGGAAAGGGGGTAAGAGATGCTGCCTTAAAAAACAGAGAAGAAGAGAGAGGAGCCCCTAGTTGCTTAATAATCAGATATTGTATGCAATATCTGATATAAACTTAACGTCATGGTTCTGACTGACAAACCCAACGCAGTAAGCACAGCTGAAGAGATCCAATCTCCAGTGCAAAACTTTATTGAGTACACCACTTTGGCATAGATGAAAGGGAAGCCAGCTCTGACCAATTAGCACCAAAATCAGTATATTAAAAGTACAGAAACTCCTCTGCCCTAATAGTGCAGGTCACATTGTCCAATTAAGCTTGAGACAGTTGTTATGAGAGAAAGTCATCAGTTCTTGTAAACAATCTCTGAGTAACCTTGGTTCTCATGGCCTGGCCGTTGGGCATCTGCAATCCACAGATTCCACTCCTTGCCCCTCCCCACCTGAGTTTGTAGGCAAGCTAAGAAGCAGTAATGGCCGAAACAGCATCAGCAATCTTTGCAGCTTGACACTTTAATGTTGCTATTGCCTTAATCTTCCAGCCCTCGCTTTCGGGTGTTTATTACGCAATTATTGTATGATTTTTCTCTCCCCCCCCTCCTGTTTTGGGGTTGATATCATTTCAGGTGGCCATAAAGCAGATGAATCTCCAGCAACAACCCAAAAAGGAATTAATAATCAATGAAATTCTGGTCATGAGGGAAAATAAGAATTCCAACATCGTGAACTATTTAGATAGGTAAGTAATTCCGAGTGTTGCTTTTTTTTTTTTCTCCTGATTTTTCCTGTTTTATTTTATTGTTACAAACATTGTAGGAGGATGGCGGTGTTGGTCTGTAGTAGCAAACATTACAAGGAAATTTTAACGTGTTCTAGGAAAAGGTATAAACTTTCATAAGCTGAAAACTGGCACCTTTTCCTAAAATGTATTAATCAGAAAAAAATCCTGCCAGATTCCTTCAAAAGTTTATTGTTGGAAAGTTTACACTGGCTTTCCGTGAGGTGCTTGTTACCAACATTAGTCTAAATCTCTTTCAAGAGATTTTATCCTGAAATGTTTTAATTCAGAACGGTTTGCTGCAAAGACTTGAACTATTAACTGTGTGAATGCATCCTATTTTTTAAAAAAATTTCAGTTACCTTGTTGGAGATGAACTCTGGGTCGTAATGGAGTATTTGGCTGGGGGTTCCTTGACAGATGTGGTTACAGAAACGTGCATGGATGAAGGACAAATTGCAGCTGTTTGCAGGGAGGTAAGAGATACTGTGCTGAGAAAACAGAATAGTGGATATCTTTATGATGAAGTAAATCTTCCCTTTTTAAACAATAATTCCTTGACTTATTAAATTAAGATTCTACTGAACCTGTTTCCATTCCAGTGTGGTATCACTTTCAAGGCACTGCAATTAACCTGGTCAGTTTCTGACAGTCACACTATTTTTGATAGGTGATTGTGTCCAAACTAGATGCTCATTAAAACTAGTTTAGGGCAAGGAAACCATATGATTAATGAATACACGTCTCTCTTTTATTTATGCCGTCAAGTCCGTGTTGACTCCTAGCAACTGCTTGGATGTATGATTGGATAAAATTGAAGAATTGTGTGATGGTGGCTCAGAACTTTGAAAGTAACTTTCCATCTGGTGGGAAAAGGAAAGTTAATGATCCTAGGACAAATTTGAAATATATTCTTAAGCAGAAGTGTTCACTCCCCCCTTGTAATCCACAATTCACCATTATTTTGAAAGTAGTACTGCCTCTTGCTTCTCCTGTGAAGTCAGCACATTGCTCTTCCCTCTTTAAAATACGTTCCTGTATTACTGTTGCTGTTGTTAGTGCCTGCAAGCATTGGACTTCTTGCATTCAAACCAAGTGATCCACAGAGACATCAAGAGTGACAACATACTTCTTGGGATGGACGGATCTGTGAAGCTCAGTAAGTACCCTCTCTGCTATTGTGCTGTCTATCCATCCTGCCTTGACAGCCATCGCTTTCTCCCAAAGAAGAAGATGGTAAAAAAATCTCCTTCTAAAAATAATCTTTTTTCTTCTACGGTTAAGTTACAGCATGAAAGACAGATTTAGTTGGGTTTTATCTCATCATCATTATAGGAATATCTTCAAGGATGTAGGAGATTGTCTACCACTGTATGTTTCATGAATCTGTGTTACGGGCAAAAGGACTAATCTGGAGGAATGAGAAGAAGAGCCACACTCAAGATAATGGTCAGATAAAAGAAATCTGGGGCAGAGCGGTAACCTGAGAAAGTGACTCAGACACGACACTCTCTTGGACCTGCCACAACCTAAACCTTTAAATAGAAATGATCCTTGGCTCCATTTGCTGAGAAAAATATAGTTTAATAGAGATCAAATGTATTGCAGCATTGCAAAGCCAGAACTGAGAATCGCACGCCAAAATTCCTAAGTTCTAATTTTTCCTCCCTTAACTATCTCTCATTGCCCACCCCAATGTAACCAATCGGGTTCATGCAAGATGTTTTCATAACTGAGCCGAGGTGGCGCAGCAGTTAGAGTGCAGTACTGCAGGCCACTTTAGCTGACTGTGTTCAGCAGGTCAGCGGTTCAAATCTCACCGGCTCAAGGTTGACTCAGCCTTCCATCCTTCCGAGGTAGGTAAAATGAGGACCCAGATTGTTGGGGGCAATGTAAATATATATGTGTGTTGTGTGTGTGTATGTATGTGTGTGTGTGTGTGTGTGTGTGTGTGTGTATCTATATATATATATATATATATATATATATATATATATATATATATATATATAGTGCTTGCACTTAAGCAGTATAGAAGTCTCATAAATAAATAAATAAATAAATAAACTGCCAGTCTAAGTGCAATTTGGTATGCAGTCCTCTCCTTCCTCCAGGTGGGCGACCTTGAGGCAGCGTCTCAAGGAGATATAGAACTTACTTTCGTTTCCCCCTTTCATTCCCTTGCCCACAGTTCATGGCAGTCTGTCACGGCATAACAGCAAAGCAGACGGAAGCATAGAGTGGCAGCTGACACCCTCGTTGGTTCTCACGAAGATAAAGAGAAGGAGGGGAAAAGCTCACTCAGGCTTGAAAGGCTCTTTTATTGTAACTGTACAATAAAAATAGTATTAGTGTTCGTAACTTGGGTTTCCTGGTCTGGTCTGCCTTGAAGGGCTGACGTCAGTCTGGCAAGCTTGAAAATGCTTCCTCTCTCCCTCCCTTGTGGTGGAACCAGTGACTGAAGTAGAGGAGGCCCCAGTAGAGGAGGTTGAAAGAAGCTTAGAGGAAACATTGAGGTCAAACCCTGAGGTCTGTGTCTGCCATTCCCACGGGAATTCAGAGTCTGGCAAGATTCTTGTAAACTGGTGATCAACAATGAAGAAGTCTATTTGACCCATTCTCAGAGCTGTTTTGTTGCTTGTGCCTGAAACCCCCTTTATCTCCCAAAGAACTAAGGAAGATCACATCTAAAGTGCTTTTTCAAATTACATTTCTGCTCTGGACTCTTGATTTCTTTCTTCTGACCATCATCATCTTGGTTGTGGCTCTTTTTCCTGTCCTCTTTTTCCTATTCCTTCTGCCGTTACAGCCTGGTACTCTGAATTATGGGATGGACTTTCCTGCTTTCAGCCATCTGGATATTATTACCATAGATTTGAAAGACCTGCTGATTCGCTCAAGCACTGGGATTTCATTGACTAGCTTGATTTAATATTGCTTGATGTTTGCTGTTGTATCTCTTATTTAGTTAAATCATTGCTTTGCACTGTTTTATCCACCTCTGAAATCAATGACAATAGTAGATCGTATAGCTATAAAAGAATTAATTAAGGCGCTGGTAGCACCGATTTCCAAAGCTTAATGGACGGCTAAACATGGTGGAAATGAACAGTTGTAAGGGAATATTGGAATCAGTCCAAGAAATTTAAGACAGCAAAGGGTGCAGTTAAATTCCATTTTTAAAAACCGGGCAATATGTAAAATGATACACACATGAGTGTATCTGTATCAATAGGAATTGGTGCCCAAAGGGAATTATTTATTTTACTAAATGTATTACCGCCACACTTACAATACTTTCAGTTGTTCATTTATGAAGTATTAAACAACAAAACAACCATGCTTAAAGGAATTAAACAGATAAGAAATCATCAAATCAAAGACTTAGGGGCAGTCGTCACTTTTAGGTGTCATGCAACACCTTAAGGCAGGTGTGGGCAATTAATTTTCCCAAGGGGCATCTAAGAAACTGGACTTCTATGGAGGGCCGAACTAATGGGCTGAAATCTCCCAAAGGTGCTTTTTTCAAAAAAAGCAACTTTCCTTTCTTGGTTTATTTTCTTTGAAAACATTTTGCTTCTCATTCCAAGAAGCTTCTTGGGTGAGAAGCGAAATGTTTTCAAAGCAAATAAACTAAGAAAGTCCAGTTGCTTTTTTTTGAAAAAAAAAGCACTTTTGGGACAATCATGACCTAGATGATTGAAAATCTCCATAGACAATAAACTGAGCTATTCAGCTCAATTGCATGCATGGCATACAATTGTTTACATTTGATTTCTAATTTCTGATTGACTTCACACTGGCTGGACAGGGACAGTCAAAGGGAGGGATATGGCCAGGAGGCCATAAAATGCCCAGGTCTGCCTCAAGGGGTCTTGAACAACTGTTTTCAACATCTTTTGTAAAGACAAAGCAAGGTAAATCCACCCTCAGTCCAAAGGACAGATTATTCCAAACTGTAGGTACTACAGTTAACTGCTGGAATTGGGTATGTCTAGTCTAATGAAGAGAAGGACAAGGGGGGACATGATAGCCATGTTCCAATATCTCAGGGGTTGCCACAGAGAAGAGGGAGTCAAGCTGTTCTCCAAAGCACCTGAGGGCAGGACAAGAAGCAATGGGTGGAAACTAACTAAAGATAGAAGCAACCTAGAACTAAGGAGAAACTTCCTGACAGTGAGAATAATTAACCAGTGGAACAACTTGCCTCCAGAAGTTGTGGGTGCTGGAGCATCACTGGAGGTTTTTAAGAAGAGACTGGACAGCCAACTGTCTGAAATGGTATAGGGTCTCCTGCTTGAGCAGGGGGTTGGATTAGAAGACCACCAAGGTCCCTTCCAACCCTGTTATTTTATGTTCTATGTTCTGCGACCAGTATGGTTTCTACAGTAATCATTTCTGTTTTCTGTTACCTGCAGCTGATTTTGGCTTCTGTGCTCAGATAACTCCTGAACAGAGTAAGCGGAGTACAATGGTGGGGACGCCTTACTGGATGGCTCCTGAAGTGGTCACAAGGAAAGCATATGGCCCCAAAGTGGACATTTGGTCTTTAGGAATCATGGCAATAGAAATGGTAGAAGGAGAACCTCCGTATCTCAATGAAAATCCTCTCAGGGTAAGATCAACATTCTACCCCGGGGGTCTTCAAACTGGGCCCTTTTATGACTCGTGGACTTCAACTCCCAGAATTCCTCAGCCAGCTATGCTGAGGGGAAAGGGAGAGGTTTCCAAACTGAGCCAGGCTGGCTGAGGAATTCTGGGAGTTGAAGTCCACGAGTCATAAAAGAGCCCAGGTTGCCTACCCCTGGCCTAAACAAAAAGAGAAGGTAGAACAGTTGTCTTGTTGGGACTGATTCAATTGGTTATTTTATCTCCTAGGCCTTGTATTTGATAGCTACCAATGGGACACCAGAACTCCAGAATCCCGAAAGACTTTCTGTTGTTTTCCGGGACTTTTTGAACCGCTGCCTTGAGATGGATGTTGATAGGCGAGGGTCTGCAAAGGAACTCTTACAGGTAAATAAAGACAAAATCTTCCTCTTTTTTTTGATGAAGCATAGCTCTTCTGGAGTTCTCTCTGAGAGTGCAGCATGACAAGACAAGCTACTCATACATTTTGCCCCTTTGCATGGTTCCTCAGATTTGATACATCAGGGGTCCCATGGAGAAAGGGGGAAAGGTTAAAAAGTCAAGGCAACTTGGTTGCAATGGCCATCTTGATTTTTTTTTTCCTTCATGCCCTTGCATCATTGGTTTTATGTGAGGACCCGGAAAGAGGAAGTCAGTTGCCCTGAGTTTGGAAAAAATACGGGAACTGGATGGATGAGGCTGTCAGAGGACCTAAGTCATGTTTGCCTTCCAGCTTGATTTGTTTTAAATTTAATTTGCAAATCGATCTCCTATCAAGTTGATTTGAGCTTTTGTTACAAGGGTGCGTAGACCGTGCAAAAATGTCCATTCAACCTCCACATTTTTAAAGGTACCTCTTTCAGTTTGACATTTCCAGTCAATTTATGGATGCACAAGATCTCTTTGAAGGGCTGATTTGATCACCTTTGAATCTAATCCAATTGGGGCCCTGCTCTAAGTTGTATACCTCTCTGGCTGTGATTTGCATCAGATGGACCCTTCCTTCCAAAATCCCTCTTGCATGCTAGGGAGAAAAAACATACATTTGAATACCTCTAGATCACACATGTCAAACACAAGGCCTGGGGGCCGAATGCGGCCCACGAAGTGGTTTCATGTGGCCCTCGAAGATATCCTGGAAACAGTGAGGGAACGGCCTCTGCTGCCTTGGCCCTGGCCCAGGCCAGCCGGGAGCCAATGTACAATTTTGTGGTGGCCATCTATGCTGAAATGTATTCAGTCTTAGCTCCACAAGGCCGTCTGGAAACAGCGAGGAACCAGCCCCTGCCGCATGCTGGGGAGGTGTCACCCTTTGTGAGAAATGAAGAAATGCACCATCACCTGGAAGTGGCCAGCAAATGGACCTCGCCTACTTCACATATCCAGCTTCATGGGCTCTGCCCTGGTCCCACCCCTTTCTGCCAGAGACCCTCAGATCTGTACCACTCCTGCCCAGGCCCCCACAGGCACCCTTGACGTGAATGATGTAGAGCTGGTCATGCCCACCCAGTAGGCCACACCCATACCATCCACGCCCACCCAGTAGGCTGCGCCCACCCTGGCCACACTCACCCGCCCCGCCCAAGGGGAACCGCAATGCTGATGCGGCCCTCAATGAAATTGAGTTTGACACCCCTGCTCTAGATCCATTCCTCTTGACTGGTTTCCCAACTGTTAGCAGTACCAATAGCACTTAGACCAGTGATGGCGAACCTTTTAGAGACCGAGTGCCCAAACTGCAACCCAAAACCCACTTATGCATCGTCGAGTGCCGGGTGGGTGTGGCCCATTGGCTGGGTGTGGCCCATTGGCTGGGCATGGCCCATTGGGTGGGCGTGGCTGTGGTGGTAACAGCAGACGGGTGGGACTAAAAAGTTCAATCAATCAATTCCAACTTTGCAAGATCTTTTTTTTTTCCCGTGAGAAGTTGAAATTGATTGATTGATTGAACCTTTTTTTTTTTTGCACACGGCGGCGGAGGCCTAAAGCGAAAAGGTTTTATAAAACCCAGTTGAAGGCCTAGGACTGGGGCGATGGCGCAGTGCCCACAGAGAGGGCTCTGAGTGCCGCCTCTGGCACCTGTGCCATAGTTTCGTCACCACTGGCTTAGACTTATGTACCACTTTCTAGTGAGAACAAGTCTTTCTCTCTGATGCAATCTTAGCTCACCCTCGTAGGGTGCACCTCAGGAAGCTCACTAGCTTACACAAAAACAGAGCTAGTAAACTGGCAGCCAAGCTACTACAGCCAATTCTCGACTTACAACAGTTCAATTAGTGATTGTTCAAAGTTACGGCGGCACTGAAAAACGTGACTTTTGAGAGTTTTTCACAGTTACGACCTTTGCAGCATCCCCATGGTCACTGTGATCAAAATCCGGATGCTCAGCAACTGGTTCACATTTATGACCGTTGCTGTGTCCCAAGGTCAAGGGATTCCCCCTTTTGCGACCCTCCTGACAAGCAACGTCAACGGGGAAGCCAGGTTCACTTAACAACTGAGTTACTAACTCATCCACTGCAGGGATTCACTTAACAACTGTGGCAAGGAAGGGCGTCACATGGGGCAAAATTCACTTAACCGAAGTCTCATTTAACAACAGAAATATTGGGCTCAGTTGTGATGGTAAGTCAAGGACTAGCTGCATTCTGCATGAGCGTTGTGGTCTCTTGGCTAATGTCCCCATGCCGTTCGCTACGCAAATAAATGATTTAACCACCTGTCTCTCCGTCACAATTTCTAAACGGATCAATTCTTTTCTCCTTCTTCTTCCTTCCAGCACCCGTTTTTAAAACTGGCCAAGCCACTGTCCAGCCTGACCCCCCTGATTATTGCCGCAAAGGAGGCTATAAAGAACAGTAGCCGCTAGTCTCTCAAATAGCACGGGCCCGTTCTTGTTTTGGCAGGACTGAACACCAGACCAACAAACGCTGTCACACTTTGGACTCTCCTGTGGCCCCGATGGGCAGGCGATGAGCGACGTTGTCACTGTCAATGGGGGAAGGGAAGCGGGGAGTGACCTGACCCGCTGCCCTAGAGGAGACACCACCCATCCCATCTCTTCTTTCCACTCTTGAGAATCCCTTAACTTATTTCTAAGGTGAACGGAAGCCTTTGGAGAAGAAGCTAGATGGGAAGTTTCTTTTTGCTACCTGGGGTGTTTCCAGGGGACCACGGCACTGCATGACTCAACTCAGCTGAGACAGTAGTGGTGACACACACCCCTACACCCCCAAAACAGCTCTCCTTTCTTTTTCTTTTCTTTTTCTTTCTTTCTTTTTTTTTTTGGTTTGGCTTTCCGAAAGAGAAGAACGATTCTCTTTCTGCTTCACCTTACTGGGAAGAATACGAACTGTTCACTAGCGCCCGGTCAGCTGGCTTTATCCTAAGAGGAGGAGAATCACAATGGAAGGCTTGCTTTATTTAACCAAAAAAAGAAGAAGGAAAAGAAAAATCGTACTACCAGTGATGATGATGACGATGACAATAAACCGAGACGTTGATCAATCGCAGCGTCCTCTTGTGGGTGGGGGGGTTTATCCTTTGGAATAGAGGAGATGGAGAGCATTGCAGTCCTGAGAACCTAAAGGAGAACAATGTCGTTATGTTGATGATTTCACCTTGACGTCACGGTGATGATGTCACGATGCATATTGGTGATTTTGTGTCGATGAGGTTTTTTTTTCCCCCTCCCTCAAATTAAAAAAAAAAAAATGTTGAAGTAGAGAAAGTAACCCACGTGCACTAAACTTTGGATGGAACGGCAGAACGGTTTTCATATCTGGCCAAGGTGCCTATCCTTTTCTCCAGAATCCTGAGCACTTCTATTTCTCCAGCAGTCCCTGGGGCTCTTTTCTCCAGAGCTGTCCCATTCCATAATCTGGAGGGTCAGACCCACTCCCTATTTATTTATTGTCTTAATTGTCCCGTGCTTAATCCAAATCCGCTGGAAGAAATGTCCTTTCAAATTGGAGAACTTGCAGCAAAGAAAGTCTCCTAGGACATCAGCCTAACTGAGTCCAGGTGAAAGCTAACTTCAAGCTCTGCATTGATTTTGATATGTGGAGTGGATTTCTCTCGCCCCCCCCCCATCATAATATGAAAATAAGAATAAAAAAACCCCTCAACCCCTATAGCTGTGAATTTAAGTTTTCCACTAAAACGGGATTTGGGAAGGGGGTCTGTGCTGAGCCATCTGCCCAATTTCTGTGAGACCTAGTGTGAGATGGGGCTTCCTGAGCCCTCTGCCCATGCTTGAGGAGCTCAGGAAGGAGAAATGTTTGAAGAGGAGCATTGCCAGAGAAACGGCTCAGCCACAGAGAGCAAGAAAAATGCAGCAATACATTAATCTCACGGGGTTGTTTTACCCCTCCCTCCAAGCCTGTTTGAACTGTGACTTATCCTGCAAAGCATTGAATCTGGAATTTCTAAACTCCCTGTATTGCTGAAATCTAGCAATGACTGTGAATATCTGTTGATGAAGCAAATAGCTTTGATTAAACAAATTTGTGTTGATGTTTCTTCCAATTTGAGTACGACATATCTGGTGGTTCTTCTTCTTCTTCTTCTTCTTCTTCTTCTTCTTCTTCTTCTTCTTCTTCTTCTTCTTCTTCTTCTTCTTCTTCTTCTTCTTCTTCTTCTTCTTCTTCTTCTTCTTCTTCTTCTTCTCCTCCTCCTCCTCCTCCTCCTCCTCCTCCTCCTCCTCCTCCTCCTCCTCCTCCTCCTCCTCACTCCTCCTCCTCCTCCTCCTCCTCCTCCTCCTCCTCCTCCTCCTCCTCCTCTCTTCCTCTTCTCTTCTTCTTCTTCTTCTTCTTCTTCTTCTTCTTCTTCTTCTTCTTCTTCTTCTTCTTCTTCTTCTTCTTCTTCTTCTTCTTCTTCTTCTTCTTCTTCCCTAAACACGAGCAATTAAAAAATAAGTTGATGTTGGTTTGCAGCTATCTTAACTACCCTCTCCAAAGCATTGCAAGCATTTCTTGATAGTTTCTGCACGTCAGTCTGGTCTCAAGTACTAGAATAGGCCAGATTTTTTTGATCAGTTGGCCATCTTAGTTATTGCTATACTTTAATCTGAGATGAAAATGTTGGATGGTCTGTACCTCAGGTATTAGACATGTTGAGTTTGGTATGAATGTAATGAGGGGGAGGGGCAGATCTCCCTAAAAAGGATCGGTGTGAAAGGAAGGTGGCGAGAAGTAGGACACGGACTTTCAAATGACAGATCACTGGATCCATTATGGAAGCAGGATCCATGATCTCCTCTTGAAATTCCAGTTGCACACTCCACATGTTAAACCCATTTAGGGGAACTGTAGCACTCTCTGATTTAAAAGTTGTCCATCCAATAGTTATTTTGAACATTGTCCTAGTTGATGGCAGGTCACTCTCTCTTGGTTTCCCCAAAGGCCTATCACGTGTCAGATGATAGCATTCTTTTCTTTTTGTGGATGTTGTTACAGATAATATGGAAAGAGCGTGGAGTTCGTTTCTGTTTGAAGTTTTGGTGGAGATATCTAAATGGATTTTTATTTGATTCAGTTACCGTGAAATCCAAGGGAACGTAAAGTCAAGATGCTTTCAAACCAAGCTGAACTTCAGATGACTGCATCTCTGCAGTTTCTCAGTAGTCTTAAGGACCTGCTGTCTCCTGGTTTTCTTCTGTTTTTATGACTTTCAGTTTTGCCCAGCATTTCCCAATCTTAGCAAACTTAAGCTGTGTGGACTTCAACTCCCGGAATTCCTCAGCCAGTATGCTGGTTGTGGAATTCTGGGACTTAAAGTCCACCCAACTTAAAATTGCCATGGTTGAGAATTACTGGTCTAGCCTATAGCCAATCCAATTGGGAGATGGTCAGAGTGCTCCCTAATATCAATTTACAAACTGTAACAATACAGGTATGTTTTATCAGTTGGTTATCACTGAGGTCTGAAACTCACATCAAACTCAAATTCTTAACAGGCTCTGTAACTTCCCAGATGAAATCTTTGCCTCCACCTACTTTTTCAGATGATTCCCTGATTTCTTCTTCTTCTTGTGCCATATCCGTTATCGGACGTTGCCGATTATGTCGGCAATCCTGTTTTTATCAGCAGCCGCACGAAAAAGTGCTGCTGAGTTTTGTCCAAACCAGTCCCTTAGATTTTGAAGCCACGATGATTTCTAGATCGATCTTAACATTCAGAATTCTTTCATGACCAATCCCTCTAATTCAGCTATGACTGGGAGGGAGGATAATGATTAAGATGCAGTACTGCATTCAGTTTTGGACAACCCTTTATAAGAAAGGTGTTGAGATTTTGGAAAGAGTGCAGAGAAAAGCAATAGAGATGATTAGGGGACTGGAGGCTAAAACATAGAACAGTTGCAGGAATTGGGTGTGTCTACTCTAATGAAAAGAAGGACTAGAGGCAACGTGATAGCAGTATTCCAATATCTAAAGGGCTGCCACAAGGAAGAGGGGGGTCAACCTATTTTCCAAAGCACAAGAAGGCAAGACAAGAAACAATGGATGGAAACTAATCAAGAAGAGAGGCAACCTAGAACTAAGGAGAAATTTCCTAATAGTGAGAACAATTAACTCACGGAATGTCTTGCCTCCAGAAGTCGTGGGTGCTCCATCAGTGGATATTTTTAAGAAGAGATTGGATAACTTCTGAAATGGTACAAGGACTTCTGCTTGAGCAGGGGGTTGGACTAGAAGACCTCCAAAGTCCCTTCTGACTCTGTTATTGTTATTTCATGCCTCCTACTTCCCGTAGTAGACAAACCGCTAGTCTCCCATGTGATTGTTTTCTCTCTAGTTGACTTGATGCTGCTAAATTGATTGATAATATCCTTTATGCACTTCTGTGCTTAGTAATGTCGCAGTTAATATGCAATAACTTAAACATCTGGAGGATTACAATCCCCTCACGTAGCATTACTCTGATTTTTTTTTAACCACAGAGACTCATCTATTGCACACATGGCTCTGTTTGCTTTATTTCATTTCCCTTTATTTCATGTTTTGCTGTTCCATCCTTTTTTGTGTATCTGAATCATAACCGGCGTACAGCCGTGGGAATCAACAGGGAGCACAGCCATGCTGCAAGTCCCATGGAGCCCACCCTTCAAATCTGCATGGGCCCAAGCCCCAATTTTTAAGGAAGAGCCCTTAATTGTTATTCCTCTTAGAGAAACGCATTGAGTGATGGCTCCCAGCTTCATGCTTGAGGATATCTTTTAGATGTAGCCAATCTTGGCGCAAGGAAGCCATGCAACTCTAAAATATAGTAGGACATGCCCTGCTTTGAATATAAAATAGTGTTTCTCAATCTTAACCATTTTGAGATGTATGGACTTCAAATTCCAGAACCACGGGCTTAATGATTGACACACTTACTGGTGGTAAATCCTAGTCATTAATAATCCCTATAGATCTGGAAGGTGCCTAATTGAGGAAGGTTGCCTTCCTTGCAAAAACCTGTCACAATTAGGTCAACCTAGCACATGAGCATCTCTACACACTGAAGGAAGCTATTCCAGCTGTCTTAGTTCTGCCACACTTAAACCCTGTCACAAATTCAGATCAATGTCTATGATCAGCACAAGTCTATGCTGTTAAATAGAAATTAATGGCTGGATAATAGAAATGGATCCCCCTGCTCTTCTTATGGCTAAAAGATGAGTTCTTCAACACTGGGAAGATAAATTTATGGCTCCAATTACTCAGTGGACCTGCTGTCACTTATCATTTATGACCAGCATGATGTAGATTTATGAATAGATGATTACAATGAAATACAGTTATCTCCAACAGTCTGCTCCTGTGTTCAATAGTTAAGGGACACAGGGCAGAAAACATCCTGCAGAAAGTACAACAAAATCCACCACAAACAAACAAAGAAGCAAATAAATAAACAAGGCTTTAATGTTAGATTGGGAAGTTGAAAAATCATTTCATAAGGGGACAATGATAAACCAGGTTGCTAGTAAAACTGCATGGATCAGTCCATGTAATGGTAAGTAATGAAAGATGATCTAAGAGTATCTTTCTCTAATTCTAATTTGGCAATTTGAATTTCATCAACCTTGTCTGGCAGTTTAGTTTGGAAACCCGATCAAACCAAATCAATGTTCTGAATCTAATCAATAATTGGAATCAGATTAGGGCTGATTGGTATATTGTTAAGAATTCATTAGTTTTTCTATTCAAGTGTTTTGCTGATCTTTACTTTGGAGCAACATTTTGAAAAACAGAAGGTTTTCCGTTGGGCCAAAAGACTGTCTGGACTTTAGGCTCTGCTTAGAGGCTTCTCAAGTCTACGTATCTTGACACGGGTACCACCATCATCAGCTCTAAGCATAAATCATGCAGTTCCTTCCTTTCTTATCTGCAGGAATTTTATCCTCCTGTGCTGAGCTGGATGTCTGCAGTGTGACTTTTATTGCAGGAAAAAAAATCTAACAATGGCATCAAAAATGATTTGACATTCAGGATGTTGTACGTTCTCTGTCACTCTAGTGCACGAAGGCAAAGAAACTAGTATGGAAACTAGGACAATAATTAGTTCATTAGAGAGAATCTTCTCCTTTTGGGGCTTTTTCAGTTTCAGGAAAGGCTCAGAATCTAGGATCCATTTTGGGGGTCCCTGCATTTATCTTCAACATGCAAAGGTGGTCTTCATCTATACAGTATGGAAGTATCACATCTCAGTCTATAGATGTGAGTGCCATTTTAGGCTATAATTCACACAATGATTAATATGATTTTGGAAAGAGACTTAAGTCCATACTTGGAATACTGCGTCCAGTTTTGATCACCACCACATGAGACTCTTGGAAAAGAGCAGAGAATAGCAACAGAGATGATTAGAGGACTGGTGGATAAAATGTATGATGAATGGTTGTAGGAATTGGGTATGTCTAATCTAATGAAGAGAAGGACTAGGGGTGACATGATAGCAGTGTTCCAATATTTGAGGGGCTGGAAACAAGAAACAATGGATGGAAACTAATCAAGGAGAGAAGCAATCTAGAACTAAGGAGAAATTTCCTAACAGTGAGAACAATGTATCAATGGAACAAATTGTCTTTGGAAGTTGTGGCTACTTCATTACTGGAGGTTTTTAAGAAGAAATTGGACAGCCCTTTGTCTGAAATGGTATAAAATCTCCTGCTTCCAGGGTCCCTTCCAGCTCTGTTTTACTGTTACTTAAAAATGCTGATATAATGTTGAACTATATACAGAAAAGGATTTATTGAGCCTGGAGTGTAGCTAAAAGGATAATTTTTGCACCATTGGAAGAAAACAACCATTCCAGGAGATGGAGCAAGTGAGAGAGAAGATAGAAAGTTCAGATAAAAATCATGGAAAATCTCCTCTTCTTTTACTTACATTACAGAGTCTGCTATGCAAAAGGGCTTGAAAACATTCTGTCTTTGAAAACAAAATATCCTTGAAATATACAGGAATAGAGTATTCTTTGTTGATCCTTGAAATATACAGGAATAGAGCATTCTTTGTTGAAAGGGGAAATTGGAAACAGCTAGTCTGCTGATTTAAATCATATGATTTGATAAACATGTATCCAGTCTTGCATGTATTTAGGCCAGGCTCCTATTGCTTCTCCTGTCCGGGATAAAAATGGCTTAGGAACTGAGGAGATGAGAAATTGTAGTAGAACAAGGCTGCCCCTGTGTGGCCACATATAATATATTATATATATCCCAAAGGTGCTTTTTCAAGAGGCAACTGGACTTTCTTTGTTTTTCCTTGAAGACGCTTTGCTTTTCATCCAAGAAGCTTCTTCGGTTCTTCTTGGATGAGAAGCGAAACATCTTTAAGAAAAGAAAAAAAAGGAAAACCCAGTTGCCTCTTGAAAAAACATCTTTGGGACAATAACCTGGATGATTGAGAATCTCCATAGGCAAATATTTAGATTGGGATCATGGAAAAGGAAACTCAAGTACTTTGGCCACCTAATGAGAAGGAAGGATTCACTGGAGAAGAGCCTAATGCTGGGAAAGATGGAGGGCAATAGAAGAAGGGGATGACAGAGGATGAGGTGGCTGAATGGAGTCACTGAAGCACTAGGAGTGAGCTTCAATGGACTCCAGAAGATGGCAAAGGATAGGAAGGCCTGGAGGAACGTTGTCTATGGGATCGCGATGAGTCAGACACAAGTTCGTAACTAACAACAACAATGTTAGGTTACCCAATTCCTGCAACCATTCTTCATATGTTTTAGCCCAGTGATGGCGAACCTTTTAGAGACCAAGTGCCCAAACTGCAACCCAAAACCCACTTATGCCTCATCGGGTGCTGGATGGGTGTGGCCCATTGGGTGGGTGTGGCTGTGGTGGTAACAGTAGACTGGGTGGGACTAAAAAGTTCAATCAATTCCAACTTTGCAAGATCTTTTTTTTCCCACGAGAAGTTGAAATTGACTGATTGATTGAACCTTTTTTTTTTTTTGTACACGGCAGAGGCCTAAAGCGAAAAGGTTTTATAAAACCCAGCGATGGCGCGCGTGCCCACAGAGAGGGCTCTGAGTGCCCCCTCTGGCACCCGTGCCATAGGTTTGCCACCACTGTTTTAGCCTCTAGGCCTAATCATCCCTGTTGCTCTTCTCTGCACTCTTTCAAGAGTCTCAATATCTTTTTTAATACCATGGTGACCAAAACTGGATGTGTGGCCTTACCAAGGCATCGTAAAGTGGCACTAACACTTCACGTGGTCTTGATTCTATCCTTCTGTTAATGTAGCCTAGCATTGTGTTGGCTTTTTGGGTGACTGCAGCAGTGTTGGCTCATATTTAAATGATTGTCCACTAGGAGAATACAAGTCGGTTCAGATTAGCCCTTGCATCCAATCAGGAGAGAACTGAATATGTCAACTATGAGCCTTGGAAATAACATAAGACAATTGGTGTTTTTTTATGTGCCCACCAATGGATGAGAAGCAAATGAATGCAATATTTAAACAGGTACCCTGCCTTTGTTGGATTGATGCTGATTCTGAAGTGACAGTGGAAACACTCACTTACAGAGATTAGAAGAGAGCATTAGTCAATTGGATATGGAAAGTCTCCCCCCAAAAATTGATCCTTGGCTAAAGAAACAAAAATATTCTGAACATGAGATGTTCACAACCAGTTGCCAATGTTGGATACCTCTACACTAGATGAATGCACTAGAATCAGAAATTCCACGCTAGTCTCTTAGATGGGCAGGAAAACAAAGTAGCAAAAAGTTGTTTAATAAAGATACTGTAGAGATATTGTGAATATGATGCTACCCCTCTCTTAGGAAAAGATACAGACCTAAAATTATTTGACCAGCAATGTTTTGTAAATTATGACATCAAGTGTTATCAGTTTAGCTCAGAAGTTCCTAAACATCTATCCAGTATGAGATATGAACAATTGAAGAAGTAGTAGTAGACTTCAAGTTATAGATATATAAGTTCTTTGAAGTGGAATGTGTAGATTCTTGCCACTTGGAGATAATTCAGATTAACTTGGGAAGCAAATAGAAATATGCTAGTTTTTAGTATTGCACTGCTTTGGATTCAGTTCCAAAAGAGTGCCTTGTAATATACGCACATGGAAAAATAATTCTGGTTGGTAGCTCATGAAAGCAGCTGATTGATCAGAATGGAAGATGCAGCTGCTTTAAAGAGATACGGACAAAAATTAAGTTTGCACTTCCATACGTTCCATGGCACCTTTTTACAAATTATTTCCATGATGGCGCACACTCTGATGAGTCCCTTCGGCGAATGCTGTGCCAGGCTATATGGTGCAACGTTTTGATTCCATTTTTGCCTGCTTTAACCTGTAACAGACTTTTTGTTGGAGATGACCAAGCTGAGCCCTAGGGAGGGGTCAAACACATCATCAGTCTTGAGTCCCTTTGCACCCACAAGAGATCTAAGTCCAGCCCACCTTGAATCCCATGACTTTAATCTACCATCACTTGGACTGTTAGTAGTTCAGATTCTTGTAGACAGCATCAGCCTAAAATAAATCGATATTCATTTGAACCATCTGGGCTCCTGACTTCCGGCGCTTGACACTTTTGTTTTGCTTAGAGAGATGTTTTTTGCGTCAGAAAATGAAAAGTCATTACCGTGTGACTAAGACCCCAGGAGAATCAACTCAAGGGAAGTTTGACACAGTATTTCAAAACATTTCAAGTGTGTTGAAAGCTGAACTAAAACAGAGACATAGTGGGAGGAGGGTTTCTTAAATATAGAGTATTAACTCGCAGTGAAGTCATCCAGAGGGAACTCTGGAAGAGGCAAATGCCACCAAAAATTGGAATCCTATCACAGCATCCTTTGAACAGATGCCGTGCTAGTGAAAATCTCATCTAAAATCTAATCCAAAGCGCCACCATCAACTACATAGGAAGGGATCAGCACGGGATTTGGTTTCAAGATTTTACTGTGAGTCTGTATCAAAACAAGCAGTACTTCCTTAGCAGGCAACCTCAGTTTTCCCTTCCTTCCATCTGCAGTGCGGGCATAAACAATACAAAGAGAAGTACATTTGTTATACAATCTATGAAAAGAACGCTTGAATAATATAAGCGCTCTGTGCTTATAAAAAGTGCAACATAAATGCCTATTGTTATAACTTACCCCGCGGATGCTAATCACAGAATATATTATTCTAGATATTTAATATGTTTATTAAAAATATACCACATGTGTGAAAATATATTGCATACATTCTGTCTAGAATGCTCTGGCAGGAGCGAAAAGTGCATAGTACAGGTATTATTTTCTGTGCATTGGCTTGAATCCACCATAAATGTCATGGCAATAAGAGGACACCTTTCATTTAGTGCAGACTCTGAATGGAACAGAGAAATTCCCTCATTAGATGTGCTTGGGTCCTGTCAGCTGCCCTCTTACGTTTGCTTGTGCTTCCTTGCTATGTGATGACAGACTGCCATGAACTGTGGAATGGGAGAATGTTGGGGAAACGAAAGTAAGTGCTGTATCTCCTTGAGATGCTGCTTCAAGGTCACCCAGCTGGAAGGAGGAGGGAGCTGCATACTAAACTATGCTTGGACTGTTATGAAAATATCTTACCTGGACCTGATTGGTTAAATGAGGGTGAACAATGAGAAACAGTTAAGAGAGGGAAAAGGGACTTTGGTGTGAGATTCTCAGTTCTGGCTTTGCAATACCGCAATATACCTAACCTCTAATAAACTATACCAGTGATGGCGAACCTTTTAGAGACCGAGTGCCCCAAAACTGGCCCAGCCCCCGCTTCACCACCTGCCCCACCCCTGCCCCACCCCCACCCCGTCCCTTGCCCCACCTGCCCGCAGGGCCACTCACTGCCTCCAGGGCCCGCCATAGATAGCCCAGGCAGCCCAGCAGCGCCAGGGCGGCCACGCCATCTGCCCGCGCCCTGCAGCATCAACTGTGTGCAATGGGGTGTGAGGGCTTGTCTACGCTGCCTGGCTGTCATGTCCTTGGCTGTGTTGCTCCGCGTGGGCCACGCTTGGGGGCAACTCTCCTCCAGGGAGGCTGCTGGTGAGGAGGGGATCGCGGGGGGAGGCGAGGCTGGGGCAACAGCATGTGTGTCCACAGAGAGAACTCCAAGTGCTGCTTCTGGCACATGTGCCATAGGTTCGCCACCACTGAACTATATCTTTCTCAACAAATGGAGCCAAAGGTCCTTTCCATTTAGAGTGTTAGGTGTGGTAGGAATGACAGTTCCTTTCCCTCTATCCTCATCCATTTTAGGATCTCCCTAAAAATATGCCCCAGATGTTGAAGAACACCCTGGAATGTGAAGAGACAAGACTTCTTTGGGGTATCCTAAAACAACTCTGATTTCTTTCTGCCTCTCATCTCATCAGCAAGAATGTTTGGGGCGAGTCTCTGCTTGAAGATATTCCCACTGTAGGAACCCATGCCAGAAGAGGCCCAATGAACTATTGTCCTCCACATATAGGCAGTTCTCGACTTACAATGGTTGGTTTAACAACCATTCAAAGTCACAACAGTGCTGAAAAAAGTGATTTATGACCGCTCCGTGCATTTATGACCATCACAGTGCCCCCACCATCACATGATTGTGATTTAGGCACTTAGCAACTGTTGTGCATCCTGGGGTCCTGTGATCACCGGGGTGCAATGTCCCGGGGTCACGTGATTGCCATTTCCAACCTCTCCAGCTGGCGTCTGACAAGCAGAGTCAACGGAGAAGCTAGGTTGAAAATTGCAACCGCGTGATGTTTTGCTTAACAACTGTGGCGAAAAGGTCATGAGATCGGGGGTGGTGCTTCCCTTACTGAGTGCACCATTTGACAATGAATTTGATGCTCCCAACTGGTGCTGAAATCAGGGACTCTCTGTTCACCAGGAAGAAAAAAATGGTGACTGTTGGAGAGCAGTTTTCCCTTTATGGGATGATGATGATGATTTAACTCAAGTACAAGACAGGGCTGTGTGAAGAAAAGCTACTCATTTGTTGCAACTCCAACAGGCAAGACGGCTATTTGGCCATTGTGCAACATTAAGCCTCCCATCATGGGATGTGTCATCCCATACGTCAAATATAGCATCTCTTATTCAGTGGCTGCATCGATTCTGAAGACACAGAAGAGACAATGGGCTCTTCTTAGCAGTCCCAGCAGGATCTGGGACAAAGCTGGTATTTCATCCCAAAAGTAACTCAGTTGACCCAAACAATCCGCCACTTCCACTGAGAAAATGGGTGTGAAGCTATTCAGGAGTTGGGTTTGGAAGCTAAGCTAGCTAGCTCTGTGACATGACCCTATTTTCCTAACCGAAAGGCTGAAAAGCTGTAAATGTGGTTGTGAATGAACCATCGTTTAGCACGGATTACAATTTGGAGAGTAAATGAGGAAAGGAGGAGGTCAGTACATCGGCGACAATCCTGTCCCATCTGTCTCTCTTTACAAATTTTTGTACTGTCCATGTGCAACCCAGAGATTACAAACCAAAGAGGGGATTCTAACAGCATCGCTCCCTCTTGGGGTCCATCAGCCTCTGCAACTCATAGTTCCACCAGGTCATCACTAGAAAGTATCTTGATGGTGATTTGACCGGGCACTTCTTCTGCTTCCTGCAGGCCTCGGCCATGAAGTTGATACTTCTGAAGATCCCGAGGGTCACTGGGTGACCCAGACAACCGGACTTCTCCTAGGAATCTGTCAAAGAAGGCATCGTGCCAGACCTAAAGTGAAGAGAAGGCAAAGAAAAATCTACTATTGTCATTACACAAGGCCTTTCCTTAGTTACTGTATAAGGGTGTTGTCCAGTGCAAAAGTCCTCATCTAAAAGAGGTCAGATCTTCAAGATTTGCTCTGAGTTCTCTCTCTCTCTCTCTTGCATATCCTTTTAGCCAGATTCCCTGGGGCTGAAAAACTGTTTCCTTAACAGTGTAATTGGTTTGATTTAGCTGTGTTGTAATACTGAAAATCATTTGCGTCTTGTAGGTGGGATTAGTGGATAGAGCCGAGGTGGCACAGCAGTTAGAGTGCAGTACTGCAGGCCACTTTAGCTGACTGTGTTCAGCAAGTCAGCGGTTCAAATCTCACCGGCTCAAGGTTGACTCCGCCTTCCATTCTTCCGGGGTAGGTAAAATGAGGACCCAGATTGTTGGGGGCAATGTAAATATATATATATATATATATATATATATATATATATATATATATATATATATCTTTGGTTGTTCGGGTTTTCTCCCATGTAAAATTGGAAGTGTCTTGGCGACGTTTCGACTAAGTCCCATTCGTCATCTTCAGGCTGGTTTCAGCTTCGTGCTTCGAGCAGCAATTTGCTGCTCGAAGCACGAAGCTGAAAACACCAGCCTGAAGATGACGAATGGGACTTAGTCGAAACGTCGCCAAGACACTTCCAATTTTACGCGGGAGAAAACCCGAACAACCAAAGACCTACATACAAATACCCGCGAAAACCTCAGAAAACAAATATATATATATATATATATATATCTATATATATATATATATATATATATATATATATATATATATATATATATATACACACACACACACACACATTGTTTACTGGTGTACACCGCTTAGAGAGTGCTTGCACTTAAAGCGGTATATAAGTCTCATAAATAAATAAATAAAATGGATGGGTGATTTGAAAAGATTTGAAAGCTGGAAGAAGGCCCTGCAAGAAATGACACACCAGTTCTGGATGTCTGTGGAGATTGTCAGCCACCCAGGGTCATGGTTGTCTCGAAGGTGCATTTTCAGGAGGCAACTGGACTTTCTTGTTCTTCTTTGAAGACGTTTCGCTTCTCATCCAAGAAGCTTCTTCAGCTCTGACTGGATGGTGGGGAATGGAAGGATTTATATTCCTTGCAGACAGCTGGTCATTTGCATTCTTCTAAAGAGTCGTTGAGGCCATTTGGAGGTTGGGATGAACACCCTTTGAATGGTGTGGGAGTATGAATGGATTTCCAGAAAGCATTGCAGACTACAGGAACAGGGCCGAAAACATCCTGCAAGCCAAGAAAGCTCCACACCCATTTGCACCCCTCAGGTGACCTTGAGGACACAGCTAAACCTCCAAGTGGCCTCAATGACTGTCTAAAAGAACCGTTGTAAGCTGAGGACTGCCTGTATTCTTGCTGGATGCGAGCAGTTTGGAGAGAATTTCTGGTGAGAATACAAGATGTAGGCAAAGGATTTAGAAGCCGCCTGCTGCATTTTTTGGGATTAAAAAGTAAAAAAAATAAATAAATCTGAAAGACCATCTCGCAACTGCCTGCAGTGACTATTCTAACTCAAAGGGCATCCAGGGTGTCAGTACTAACAGAAAAAAACCTCTCTGTGAAGAAACCTGGCAACATTCCACTCTCTCTTCCCCTTGTCAGCACCGAGGCCTCTGCCAGATTGCTCCTGGCAGATTTCCCAGAGTAAAAATACAACTGTAGTTGCCTTTTTGCTTTGTGAAAACCCAGCAGTGTTTAAACTTTAAATACTGGTGTGTGATTTTAGGAAGCTGTGGCATAACAGAATAACAGTGTTGGAAGGGACCTTGGAGGTCTTCTAGTCCAACCCCTTGCTTAAGCAGGAGACCCTAGACCATTGCAGACAAGTGGCTGTCCAGTCCCTTCTTAAAAGCCTCCAGTGATGGAGCACCCACAACTTCTGGAGGCAAGTCGTTCCACTGGTTCATTGTTCTCACTGTCAGGAAATTTCCCCTTAATTCTAGGTAGGTTCTCTCCTTGATTAATTTCCATCTATTACTTCTTGTCCTGCCTGCAGGGGCTTCGGAAAATAGGTTGACCCCCTCTTCTATATGGCAGCCCCACAAATTCTGGAGGCAAGTCGTTCCACCGGTTAATTGTTCTGACTGCCAGGAAATTTCTCCTTAGTTCTAGTTTGCTTCTCTCTTTGATTAGTTTCCATCCATTGTTTCTTGTCCTGCCTTCTGGTGCTTTGGAGAATACGCTGACCCCCTCTTCCTTTGTGGCAGCCCCTCAAATATAGGAACACTGCTGTCATTATTACCCCTAGTCCTTCTTTTTATTAAACGAGACATACCCAGTGCTTGCAATTCAGCTTGCTGGATAGATTGGATTGAGAGAAACTGATAATCCTAAATCACCTGTGTTTCCAGATCAAAGGCAGGATTTAAATCTGGGGTTCCTCCCTATATACCTGATCCTGATCCAAGTTCTTGTCCATGCCACCACGGGTGGCAAACAAATTTAATAAATAAATAAGATTGTCAGGTCCATATGGGAACGCTGCCATTAGCAAAGGGAGGGGGGAGCACCCGCTATTGTGGATTGAGGATGTTCCTGCATTGTTTCTACTTTCACTTTGATGTATCTACATGGGAATTAGGAAGGGGGGGAAATCCTCAGAGCCATCTGTTTTAACTCCTGCGGTTGGCAAGAATGAGGTGTTAGAGAAATGGCCGGTTATCATCTATAGAATATGAAGGATATGTGAATATAATGTATGTTCTTATTTAGGGCTTTTACTTGTGTATAGTGTGCACTGTGGATAGCACTTAATTTCATTGTGAGTTACACAATGGTAATAATTCTATTCTATTCTATTCTATTTTTCTTATTTTAATTCTATTTTATTCATATTTTAATTCCATTCTGTTCTATTCTATTCTATTCTATTCTTATTTTAATTCTATTCTATTCTATTCCATTCCATTCCATTCTATTCTATTCTATTCTTCATTCCATTATTCTATTCTATTCTATTCTATTCTATTCTATTCTATTCTATTCTATTCTATTCTATTCTATTCTATTCTATTCCATTCCATTCCATTCCATTCCATTCCATTCCATTCCATTCTATTCTATTCTATTCTATTCTATTCTATTCTTCATTCCATTATTCTATTCTATTCTATTCTATTCTATTCTGTTCTATTCTATTCTTATTTTAATTCTATTTTATTCATATTTTAATTCCATTCTGTTCTATTCTATTCTTATTTTAATTCTATTCTATTCTATTCTATTCTATTCTATTCTATTCTATTCTATTCTATTCTATTCTATTCTACTCTACTCTACTCTACTCTACTCTACTCTACTCTACTCTACTCTACTCTACTCTATTCTGGTCGACGTTTTCACAACATCTTCATGCCAGCAGATGGGCTCCTGAAGAACCGGGGCATTGGGGTAGGACTAAAGAAACAGGGCTTTTAGCTTAATACTTTTGCACAGGAACTTCAGATCCTTCCTTTTTTCTCTGCAATCACTTTCTCTCAGTAAAAGATCTTTGTTGAACAAATGCCTGTTTCCCGAATTGTGCTTTCCTGCAGGGATAGCTGAGGCAGGACCTTACAAAAAATAAATATATATTATTAAGCACAGCACAGGTGCAAATACAGATCGCAGGGATTCTCTTACCTGGACGATAATGGGGCTGTCAACCTTCCTTTTGTAGAAAACAGCCTGGGTGTTGAAAAGAGCGGTCCCCGTGCTCTTCTGAGAGGGAGACTGAACCTTGCTGTTCTCACACTTAATAATTATATAAAGGTTGGTTTCTGAAAAAGTATATTTATCGATTAGCATTTTTGGAGACTCCTGGTATTTATAAAAAAACATTACAGGCAGTCCTCAACTTACGACCACAATCGAGCCCAAAATTTCCGTTGCTAAGTGAGACATTTGTTAAGTGACTTTTGCCCCGTTTTACAACTCTTCTCACCACGCTTGTTAAAGGAATCACTGCAGCTGTTAAATTGGTGACATGGTTGTTAAACGAATTTGGTTTCCTCCTTAATTTTGCTTGTCAGACGGTCGTAAAAGAGGATCGCATGACCCCAGGACACGGCAACCGTCATAAATGTGAGTCAGTTGTCAAGCATCCAAATGTAATTCACATGACCGTGGGGATGCTGCAACGGTCATAAGTATGAAAAATGGCCGTGTGACTTTTTTCACTGCCATTGCAACTTTGAACAGTCATTAAATGAACTGTTGTAAATTGAGGACTATCTGTATTCTACTTTCCACCTTCCTACTTTTTTCCTGGATAAAAGATTTGCCTGTAAGTAACCCTTCCCTCACTCTACACATGAAGGAGGCAATGCTACAAGTAAAAATAGACTCGTTGTCACACCAAGAGAACCTTCATCATCACAATCAAATCAAAGGAGACTCTCCACTTGGTTTCCTGGGCAGAGTAACTGATCCACTGTCATAATAATAATAATAATAGTAGTAGTAGTAGTAGTAATAGTAGTAGTAGTAGTAGTAGTAGTAGTAGTAATAGTAATGATAGAACCCGTGTCAACCATCAGCACCATCCAATTTGAATGTTCAGTTGACTGAGGTTCATGTTTAATGAATAAAAGATAATACTGATGATGATGATGATGGAAGGGACCTTGGAGGTCATCTAGTCCAACCCCCTGCTCAGGCAGGAAACCTTACACCATTTTGGACAAATGGCTGTCCAGTCTCTTCTTAAAAACTTCCAGTATTGGAGCATTCACTGCTTCTGGAGGCAGGTTGTTCCACTGGCTAATTGTTCTCACTGTCAGGAAGTTTCTCCTTAGTTCAGGGTTGCTTCTCTCCTTGATTAGTTTCCATCCGTTGCTTCTTGTCCTGCCTTCAGGCGCTTTGGAGAATAGCTTGACTCCCTCTTCTTTGGGGCAGCCCCTGAGATACTGGAAGACTGCTGTCATGTCCTCCCTTGTCCTTCTGTTCATTAAACTAGACAGACCCAATTCCAGTAACTGTTCCTTGTATGCTTTAGCCTCCAGTCCCCTAATCATCTTTGTTGCTTAGTTCATACCAACAGCTTAACACGAGACGCGTTGGATTTCTTCCCTGGAAAAAATGGTTATTCCAGGGAAGGTTCTCGACACATTAAAAATATGGAGCGTGTGTTGTGGCGATTTGCCCAGCCATTCAGACAATATGCATTCTATAGGTAGTCCTTGACTTGCAACCATTCATTTAGTGACAGTTCAAAGTTACAAAGGCGCCAGAAAAAGTGATTTATGACCGTTTTTCACACTGACGACCTTTGCAGCATCCTTGTGGTCATGTGATCCAAATCCAGATGCTTGCCAATTGGCCTGTATGGATGACAGTTGCAGTGTCCCAAGGCCATGGGGTCATCTTTTATGACATTCTGACAAGCGATGGGGAAGTCAGATTTGCCTAACAGCCGTGTTACTAACTTAAACAACTGCAGTGATTCACTCAAGAACTGTGGTAAGGCAATACAATGGAGCAAAACTCACATACCAACGGCCTCACTTAGCAACAGAAATTTTGGGCTCAGTTGTGGTTATAAGCCAAGGACTACCTATATGTTCCATGTCTAGGAATTCCATTACTTTGCAAGAATTCCGGGCATATGTTGCGCATATGGAGTAGATTCCTTGAATGGTTCCAGAGCTAATTAGAACAGTCTCCTCCTTAACCTCTTCTTAAGTCCCACAAAATAAAGCAAAGGGGAAACTACACAGTGGGATCAGCTTGATGGAGTGTGCCCAGCTCAGCTACATATGTCATATTTTCTCCCTTCCATTGCATTAAAAAGGGCCATTTTAATATCCGGAGAGGCTAAACACATAGCACCCAGATTTATATATACAAAAATGTTGCTTCAGCGCCTGCAAATATTGGAGGGACTGCAAAACACAAGGATTTAGTTGCAGGAAAAGGCTCCATGGGGGCTTTTTCCAACAACAACAACAAAAAATATTAGACTTTGTGTGTTATCAATGGCTCGCTTGTCCTAAATCCCACTTATGATCAAAACACTCTGATTAATTGTGTTGAGAGACTCAGCCCATGGTAATTGACATACGGTGATTAATATATGGAGAGTTACTGCCAACCTTTGCTAATTGCCTGCTTAAATAACAACAGGGGCTTGTGTTAATCATAACCTGGGAGAGGAGGAGGCCGAAGAAATTATGATGACAGCTGAAAAAAAAATAACAAAATAACAGAATTACAGACTTTGGAGGGACCTTGGAGATCATCTAGTCCAATCCCCTTGCTCAAGGAGGAGACATATGGCACTCCAAAACCCCCAGGGATGGAGCATTCACAACTTCTGGAAGCAACCCATTCCACTGATTGTTCTCACGGTCAGGAAATTTACTTCCAGGCTGACTTTCTCTTTAATAAGTTTCCATCCGTTGCTTCTTGTCCTGCCTTTAGGCGCAACGTTGAAAGTTGTGCTTTTTATTGTGGAGATGGGTGTGGTCCAAAACAAGGGGTTATTTTTCACTCAGCAAATCAGTTTTGTAAATCTATACAATCAAGACAAGATTGCTGTGCTCTGTAAATACCGAGACAAGCCTTAACATAGACTCAAAATGCATTAATGCATATCTATTTTTATATTGTCAATAAATGTGAATTCCACTCTTGACCTCAAGGAACAAATCTTATAATGGATTTTGGAGCATGACATCTCGAAGTGAAAGGCTGTAATTACCAATAAAGTCCATCAGAACGTTTTCCTTCATAGCTTTCTTTGGATATGTCTCTTACAACAATCTAGATTTATTGACCTAACTATACATTATGGTAATTTTCAGCCAGCTATTTCTAAGAGAGTCTGTCAATCATTATAAACAACTGTTGTCTTGGCAACATATAGCAGTTTGTAACAGATTCTGGATTTAGCTGTACACTTAATATGATTCCTAGAAGCAAAAGGATTATTTTTATGTTCCAGCAAATGTTGGTTTCATCCAGGTAACTATAGGTACAACATATGTCCCAAGGAGACCAATGTGGACCAGCAAACATAACCTTCCCATCAATCAATCAGAATAGAGCTGGAAGGAACCTTGGAGGTCTTCTAGTCCAACCCCCTGCTCAAGCAGGAGACCCTATACCATTTCAGACAAGTGACTGTCCAGTCTCTTCTTGAAAATCTCCAGTGATGAAACACCCACAACCTCTGAAGGGAACCTGTTCCACTGGTTAATTGTTCTCATTGTCAGGAAATGTCTCCTTAGTTCTAGGTTGGTTCTCTCCTTGATTAATTTCCATCAGTTGTTTCTTGTCCTGCCTTCTGGTGCTTTGGAGAATAGGTTGACCCACTCTTCTTTGTGGCAGCCCCTCAAATATTGGAACACTGTTATCATGTCACCTCAGTCCTTCTTCTCTCTAGACTAGCCATGCCCAATTCCCGCAACCATTCTTCATATATTTTAAGAACGATTGCAGGAATTGGATATGGCTAGTCTAGAGAAAAGATTCACTTTGGGATCCAGAAAAAAAAAAAAAAAACTGGTTTTCCCAGTGGACTGGACTGGCTAAAAAAAAAAGGGAGTATGTAAAGGAAAACATTCCTCAATATCAGAAATGTTGTCCCAATTAGCAGACAGGCTGTGAAAAGCACATATTTTCCAAGGACTGGGCGAGGAAATTGGCACACACTCTCATCTCTAATGAACAGGATCCAATTTCCTTTATCTAACAGATTAGAAACAAGTTGTGTTTGGCAGCCTCTGTTTCCTCAACAGTGTGTCATGAAACAACATTGTTCCTTGGATATTTTGAGCCAGAAATAATGGTAGGAATGTGCAGAGCGGAATGAATGCAATTTGTTTTATTCTCTGTGCTGTTAGGCAAGTAGCTGAGTAGGTGTTCGCTGGGACCACATCCTTTCCTTGGGATTTAATTCAGGGTATAAGGAACTAGAGACAACGCAGACTGCTGAAGGCAGGATTTTGGGAATATACCTTGGGCTCAGTCCCAAGTTTTGTTGGACACTGGAAAAAAAAACAACCTTTGATATGGTTCAGATTGCATTTATTTGGTGTTATGGATTTTCACCCAGGAAGGAAGAAATGGCAAACAACTTCTGAAAAATCTCACCAAGAAAACTGCTAGGATATATCCAAGCAACATTGCCTTGAAGGCAGAAAACCAAAACAAAGTAATGCCCTTGACTGCGTTAAATACCTTCTCAAATATATCACAATATGCTGAATTCAGCATATCTAAATGTATAGATACAGTTTTAGTAGCTATAACTCAATGGTTGAAACTTCCATTAAGTCTCTGGAGTAAAATGAACGTTATTAGGATATTTAAATAGATAAATTAATAAGAACAATTTTATGGCCGGCTAAACTGTTGGCTGAACAGAGGTTACTTTATGGTGATGGCAGCTTCAACTTGACAGATTTTTCAATTATATCATCGAGCTTTTATTCTATATTTTGTGGAATCAGACCTTTTATGAATATGACCCTCTTTAGGGCTATTTGGAGAGCTAATGTGTAACACCCCTGAAATCTTTACTAGTTTTAGGGCCCTGGTATATTATACAAGTTTATAATCTCCTAAATGTATTTGGTTATTAGCAGGCAAGTGGTTATGTTTTGATCCCAAATCACAAGAGAAATTGACATTATAGAATAACTTGGATTTGAATATAGTGATGAAGATGTTTTATTGGAGTGATGGCAGCCCATAGCATCAATTGTAGGAGAACAGCAGGCAGAATTGGGGGTCAGAATTAAGTGCATCATCAGCTTTGAGTCATTACAATGCCATA